TATTTTTATGTTACCTCGAATGTATTGAATTAATTTACTTAAAATATATTTGTATACTACGTAAAAAATCTGTAAAGTAAAAGTAAGAAGTCTGCAAATTCCTATTGAAGGACTTAAAAATAAAATTTAATGTAATTTGTTTTCGCTGAGAACATCTACTCTGCGTGATCAAAGGTCGTGCTTTTACCTTCCAAGGGTATTGTCGAACTCTATCTTTTTTTTTTTGTAATGTGAGATAATTTTATACACGGAATACGAACACTGGCTCACCGGATGTCCAGTTTTCACGTTCAGTATTTAACCAGCAAGGTGAAATCTGAAATCTTTTAACCGACTCCTGTGAGATGTTAAATAATATAACAATTAAGGGGTAAATGTAAATAATATTGATGTTCACGTAATACAATTAAAATAAAGAGAAAAATCACTAATGAATTAATCGACAAGCAGAATTCGTCGGTCGTTTATAGTTTTCGAAAAAAATTATAATGAAATGGTGTAATTTTCACAATAGAAATCCGCCATATTTTGTTGTCAATATGTCAATTCTGCTCTGATTTCTGGGTGGTCATAAAAAAAATAACAACGGTTAAGGCCTGAACGTTCTAACCTAACGAGTCGGATTGCTCTGTCGATTCTGTGACTCATTAAATTAAAAAAAAAATCGAACTATTGAGACGAGTATGACGTCGCCCGCTTCTTATATTTTATCTTGTTGGCTGAACTGTGTATTGAGTTTTTGAAGTCAAATTAATAAAACGGCGGACTTTATTAGTGAAAATAATTAGTTTCAAATATTTTTTTCTCGAAAACAATAAGTGACGGAGATTCTGCTTGTGGATTAATTCATTAGTGATTTTTCTCTATCGTTTTAAATTTATTTTAATTCAATTACGGCAACGTCAGTGTCCTTTGCATTTGCCCAATTTAGGTATAATATCCATTTTGATTTACTCCTATCTCTTAAATATTACTTCAGTCTTCTCAAATATTTATTAGGGCTCAACGATCCACTGCGACTGCGAATGGCGAACTTTACATACCCAAATATTTATGAATCACTGTTTTAATACATATTTCCTTAAGGCGTTTGTAATTAGCACTTACAATTGCAACAATTTCTTTGGCTTTGTTTGGCCACGATTTAGGAAAAAGTTACATGATTATAGTGAATATGAAAGTATTTTAATACAGAAATTTGAATGTTAACAACATTTCGCTTTGTGCTAATTACCATTGTATAATCTCATTAAAGAGGGTAGAGAAGATGAAGTTCGTAAGATTTAAATAAACATTATATAAGAACATTAGATAATTCCGAGAATAATTGGAGGTTCTTTTGTGAAGTGTTACTTATGTAAACAAGAGTAAAACTTGGATATACAAAGCCTTTGGCAATTAGGTATGTAAAACTTCAATAAATAAAATACCGTAGCACAATCTAGCAAACTCGACTTTTCTGATAAGTACTTTAACCAATCAATTAAATAAATTTGAATCAATTTACTAAAATTCATGTCTTCTAGAATAGCTATAATCTAAAGCTATAATTTATGTCTTCTAGAATTATTAGCATAGAGTAATTTCTCCGACCAATAAAAAAGTCCTTTTCGGACTAATCTATTGTAGTTCAAAGCTAAGGATAAAACACGGTTTTTGAGGAAACATAGTTTGTTAATACATTAAATGCGTGTCTTTTAAAAATTATATATTTGAATGAGTTATTTGAAACATTTTATTTTTATTATTACAGATTAAACTTGATTTTACACGTGAAAGTTTAACACACAACGTTTAGTATTTTCCACTTACGTTTTATTTATCGTAAATACAAAATATAACTTTCCGATAGCTGAACTGTGAGTAGCAGCTTGCTTACGCTATACGCTAGGAAGAAAATATAACTAAAGGCGTCATACGCTCTTTCAAAATAGCACGTGTATAAGAAATAGTTTTATAGCTCACGCGAAATAACAGCCTAGGTACGGGTGTAAACAAAGGGCCGGGCAAAGTAGTTTCCTAAATTGTCTGCTTTATGAGCCACAACGGAATTAGGGTCAGACACCAAGCTCTCTACGAGTAAACCATGTCATAACCCATGAATTTTTATAATGCGTTATATAAAAAATGCCATATAATTTGGCCGTGACCTTTACTATCGTCTTTTTAAACCTACGACCGTCTCCAGTAAGGTTTATAAGATCTAATTCTCTTGACAGCTACTGTGTTGTTCATAGAATACATTTCAATAAACGGTTACACCTAAAAATAGTATACGGAATATTATTAATTATACTTTGGTGTACTATGTCGATAATACTTGTTGCAGTATAAACACATCTCATTTAATTAAATGAGGCCATAACTTTTTTGATGAACTTACAATGCTAAAATTAACTGAGGGCCACGCAACAGATTCGCTGTTGCACAAATGGGCAGGGCCGTCCGCGTAAGTACCACGGACACACAGAAGACCGGCGTGGAAGTGTTATGTTTCTGCGTTTAGTCTGGTGAGTTAAGAAGCCAGGGCCCACTTTATAAAAAGGTGGCAACGCATCTGCAACCTTACGAGTGTTGCAACTGTCTATGGGCGGCGGTTATCACTTAAAGTCAGGTGAAACGCCTCGCCGCTTGCCACCTTCTCACGTAAAAAAAACATCGCAAACTGGTCTCGAAAATGTTAATAATAAATTACTTTTCATTTGATTTGTTATCGTATGCTTATATTTTTAATTTTTTTATGTGAGAAAGTGGCAAATGAGCTGGTGGTTCGCCTGATGTAATGTTATAACTGGCGCCCATGGACATTTGCAAATGTAGAAATGCAGGGTTGCAAATGCGTTGCCACCTTTAAATAAAGTTGCCCCCGGCTACCTCACTCTGGAGACGAAACGCAGAAATGTACTTCTTCTACTTTATGCCGGTCCTCTGCGAGGTCGTGGTACTTAAACGGACGTACCTGCCCATTCTTGCAACAGTAATCACTGTTGCGTGGCCCTACCACCAAAAATATGAAAAGTCTCCAATTCTTATACGATCCTGTAAACTTACGAAAGATTTGTTTGTTGCGTAAGATATTATTGAGAAAAAAACTAAATGTAGGTAATTACAAAACTTCTAAGGGGTAAAAAGTTTTACTTTTAATATTACGTATATTAAATAAAAACAGGGCGGCAGACTCCCTGTTTTTGGTATGTCATAAGATAATGTATATAAGCGTGACAAAAAGGTCATGCAAATTTTAGGCAATCAGAGGGCTTGCTGGCGGTGACAGCCAGACAGGGCATATCGGTCAACGGGTCACTGTATGAATCGCTAAGACGCACCCTAAAACTGGCGCACCCAAGGGATATATTTTGTTGTTATACTCTTCGACCGCAATGCGACGACATAAAAGTGAAATATACAGACAGGGTCTTTCATCTTTGTCAAGAAATTAAGCAATCAGATAATTTCCAATTAGCATACGTAAGCGAATTTCGATATATCATGATGTTTTGTCAACAGTACCATACCGTATACATATTTGATCTTCTTAAAAATACTTCAAAAGAATAGAAATTGGAAACAGAAATGTCTTTCCATTTATCGTTAATTCCACCGAAAAACAACATTTTACGGATTATTTCCTATAAATTCGTGGAACACATTTTCAACAGTAGAAAATAGCAACAATCAAAACACGTTGCGATGATTTTCGCGCGTAGATGACGTAATCAATGTTTAGCCATGGCTTTGAAATTGTAATGTGAATTTATACAGGTTATAATGGCGTGGTGTGGAGCATACATCTTTTTTTATATTTAATCTGATCATTTTTGAAGCAATTTGTGCATTATTGCAGATTGCTTCAAAAATGACTAGCACAACTTTATTTTGATTATGAAAACCTATATTTAAGCAAGAGTAAAATAAGTTCAAATATTATTAAAAGACTTAGTAGTGATTTTTAGTTTAAGCTTTTGTAATACTTTTGGATATTCATAAAGTTAAAAAAAAATAGTTAATATAATAGAGACAAGGAGGGGCGGAGGAGTATAACAAAATGTTATTAGTCAAATAATATTTGAAACACATAAGGGACACCACATTTGTATTTAAGAAGCTAGATTAATATAGATACAAAGGGAAAAAGAATGTATTCAATGAGGCAAAAGAAGAATACTGACCCAGTAAGAGGCCTGCAGGTAGCACCAACCGCACCAGTATCAATGAAAGGTAATACTGATGCATTTTGTTTTCTGCAAAAAGGAGTATTTTAAATAGGTAAAAAAAGACATTACTTTTTTATTATTGAATAAAATTGTGACATAATTTTTAAAATTTAAACATTTTTCTATTTCTTATGATGAACAAACCTATTTTTGTTATGAAATTATACATATTTTCTTTGCCAAACACAAATTTATAGCAACAGTAAAATTAAAGTATTCTTTATACATATCTATAAAATGTAATACCACCACTATTGTTTTTTTTATATTTATAATAGCACAAATATTATTGTTAAAAAAATAACAAGAACACGTGAATCTTTAAAAAACAACATATTTAAACTATATAAACAGTACTTTATATTTTACATGATTAGATTCAGATGGAATAAATTAAATTTAAATATTTATCTCTAAAATTAGTTAAGCAAAACTTAAATAAAATAATACCCGGCATTCAAATACGTACATAAATATACGTACTTTTTCTGTCAGAGTAAAATTGTATAAATCGGAAAATCAAATCACTTTGACTGTACACAACCACTGCAAATCTCTAATTAGTTTATGATGCAAAATATTTGCATAGTTTGAACACATTTTACGTTACACCATAGTAAAATTGACAAACCAAAACAACCACCTTCTTAAGCTCTGTCTGCGTACCGTATAACGCATGACGTTTATTTTGACATTTTACACGTGTTGCCAGTTCTTAGTTGTATAAAGTTTAATTTTTTTTAATACTTAACAGTAAAACTTTATTTTAATTAACTAAAAAAAAATATGTTAAAAGTGTTGTTTTTTATATGAACATATTAACATAAACTTGTACGGGCTTATAGGAAATGAATACATCTGAAATAAATTAGTATCGGTATTTTTTAATATTTCATTAAACAATTTTTTTATTTTCTTATATTTTAAGTCAGAAAAAAATGATTTATCATAACTTGTAGTCTTTTAGTAGCACCAAAATTTTTTTGTATGTGGTTCTCATTTCACTACAATTGGACATCTCTACGTAGAATTTATTTTTATTACGAATTAATGGCGTAGCCAGGTGAGTGTTCTTGTTTATTTCTTATTTCATTGTTTTCCACAGTTTTCAATTGTTTTCTCCAAATGTTTTTGACGAGTAAAGTATTTATCCTCTTCAAAGTCAAAATTTTTTCAAATAATCTATTTTAATTACATGAAAAACCCATTTTACGAGTAATGAACACGTATTGGATTTGTTCCGAATTTATTCGCTAGTATCATTGTCATCACTTTCACTTTTCACGCTTTTGCTTTATTAGTGGTTTTGTGTGCATTAACTGCATACTCGCTGTCGCCATGGATGAGTGAGTTACCCAATTTGTTGATAGTTCTGTTCCTGTTTCATTGTTTCACATGAATAAATTAAGGCAAGGTTACTAATATCTCAAAATGTATGTATCGTAGCTTTGAACGTCACTGCTAAATTAATCCGTACAGTCAACCTTAGTCTATTACCATGACTATAATGTTTACATTTTACAGCACCATGTCGACCCTAACGAAAATGACCCGCACGGTTAAAAAACTGGAGGTGCCCAGGCCCTTAAAATCGACGACCAGTTCCGCACATAACCGTAACTCTGTATTGGACGTGAAAATTAATTCTGGTAAGAATCTTATTAGATTGGTTTTTCAGTTAATATACGAACAACGGAGAAAAATATTGTAAATGCCCTAATTTATTAATACATTTGCAGTTGACGACCTAATAGTGTTGACGGAAGGTGTGGCTTACCAAATGATGCAGGGCAATTTCGATCGTGCACTTCAAAGTAATGTTGCTACTATGTACTCTAATCTTAAACTATATGGGGCTCAGCTGGAGGCACTTTACAAGGAATTTCTTGATAGGTTGGTCATTGCATTTTAAGTTTGCGATTTTTTTAGTATCCTAGCAATTTGATCTTAAAATTGTTTTTTTACTCTAGATATTTTGTTGTATTCCGTAATGGTTCTCAAGACGAGAGATTGGATAAAAAGACTCGACTCCATCTTCTTGAACTCATTGAATTACGAGCCAAACATTGGCAAGGGTCTGATTATATGAGTCAATATTATAGACACCGTGGCACTCATGCTGAGGTAGGTTCTGCAATTTCCTTTTGAATCTGCTCTTTAAGGATTTTTTCAATTTCTTTTTATGTTTTAGCCACTTTTAGTGCCAACAATGGAAGGTTCGGGGTCAGGAGGCTCGGTTTCCCCAACGCTGGCTACGCCTGCCGAGCCGCCCACTTTGCTTGGCCCCGGCGAGGTCATCAAGCCTTCTGGCAAATTTCCTAAGCCAACAAAAATTCCTGGCAAAAACTATTCAAAGGATGAGGTTGTCATTAGGAATGCCGACTCTGGAAAAGGTAAAAATATTTTTGTCTCCATATTTTGTCATATTTTATGGGATAGACGTGTTTAAAAGCACTTTACAATTTAAATTTCTAATAGATTGGTAAAAATGCATGTAAGAGTCAATATTGTGCTTTCCTATTTAGTTTTATAAATTTAGATACAGTAGATAATTTCTTGCATGCAATTAGATATTGTTTCTTTATTATTACTCAATTATTCAATATTTGAATTTCAAGTCTTGTTCTCTTAATAAAATTTTAATTTTGGGGTTTATTTATATCTAAGTAGAATTTTTGCATCTTGATGTTCTAAAAAGGTACTTAAAGGAATGCTGAAAATATTCCAAGAAAATACTGTGAGTTGAAATTGTGTTATGGTGTTACAGTGATGGGTATCAAGGGCAGACGGGTGCACATGATCGAGGAGATAAGTGACACGATTATATCGTTTCAGAGAGGTATGAATGCACTGTGCAGAATGGGAGGTGCTTGTGCATGGTGTGGCGGGTTATTTTTCCTCGCCTACATTTTAACGTTTTCTATATAACATGTGTTATGTATGAATTTTAAGTGTTATATTTTAACATAATAAGGTTAAACACTAACACTCAATGTAGGATTCTGGTTCAAAGAAATATATTCCTCTATGGTTTATGGTTTAAATAACCTGTGATGTTATTATTTTCACAACCTATTTGCAACTAATTAGCTTTCAGCTTCTTCAATTAATAACACTTCTGTACTAATAAACCAAAAGTCAAATACATATTATTCAGTGTTGGATAATAACTTAATAATTTCAGTGAGTCCAGGCGCCAAGGAGAGGCTTGTTCAAATCACAGGACCAAATGAAGAAAATGTTAAGTAAGTAAAATGTGAGGACATATAAAAATATTTAAATAGTTATCATAATGGCAACTAAACCTATGCAAACTTTGTTGGAACTTCATTTTGGTTTTGTTGTTTAATTTAAAATGAGGAAATGAAATATGCCAGATTTTAGGTATTTTCTCCTAGAATAATAACTAATTTAAAAGTTGTAGGTAATAGAAATTAAATACATTGTGGCATGTAACATTGTGCACAACAATGTATACATGTAACAATTATATTACATGTATTAATGACCAAGCATGATCATGGTTGCAACGGATTTGCATGATTCACTACAAATGCTACAAGGCCGTGCGTATTGTAACGTTGGCGTGGTAAACATACAATTGTGATAATACAAATTAAAAATAAGGCTTCTGGAGTCTCAGGTGCAATTAATAAATTTTCAGAAAGGCCACTACAATAAAATATATAATGGTAATAACATGGTGGCCATTGTAAGGCTTTTCTGGTAGGCACCTTAATCACGTAAAGTCTGAAACCACTGTAGAAACACTAAAAACTACATACTACATTGGCTTCTCTTTTAGTGTGATGACACGGATTTTACTAACAAAGATAATATCTTGTGGTAGTCACGCGAAGCACTTAATTGGAGACACAATTCGGCGCAACGCGTCGCCGGTGAGATTGGAGGGGGCGCTAGAGGGCGCGCTGGCTGGCTCCCGCGCCTCTCTCGACTCCAATGGTTCTGACGACGCACCGCGTATCGTCCAGCGTGAGGTCAGCTCTTCCATTATATATACAAGTAACAATGTCGTAATAAAAGAAGCATCTCTCTAATTTGATATAAAATGAGTGCGTGTGAATTACGGGTAGCCAATACAGGCAATATAACTCGCCTCTTTCGAGGAATAGGCCCAATATGGATATCTTATTCCACAATTCTTGCGCGTTTTGCTGTTCCGTATTGAAACATCGGAGAATAAGAATGCGTCGTGATAGTTCTACATTCTGCAAAGTTAAACATTCTGTTGTAATTTTGTTTTTATTCTTCATTCAACATCCATGTACAATCACCAAAAAAATCTGTCTTTTAGTCCATCTTTAGATATTAGGTATATTTGTATATTGATTACTTAGTTTCACAAATGTTAGTATTGCATTCTCAGGTAAATTCATTGTTCTGAGTACAAATAATATGTTTGTTATACTTATGCTGTTGACAAAATATACCATTCAGCCATTCCAAGGGCTCAACATTTAAACAGTTTTGATGTGTTTTGACTTCACACATAATATGTTATATTCTTTACACATATTTGTTATATGAAACATAACATATGTCTTAATTTACATTAAATTATTTTTTCAGAAATCTCCTCACAACACTCGCGCTTTGCTTCATAGCTTTTCTACCAATGACGCCGCACTAGGAGAATATAAGTACACTGTGACTTTTGGCCAACATTCCATTAAGATCACGGGCAGCAATTTGGATCTTGTTAAAGTAAGACGCCTTTGAAATTGGCATTTTATGTTCATATTAAGGTATTCATTGAACACGTACTGTTTATACGGCAGTATTTTCTGATGTGTAAACAAGACATTAATATTTATATTCAATTGCTCATGTAAGAAGCAAATGAAACTTAAAAGCATAATTGGGGTAAAGATTTGCTCCATAAGTTTTATTTGCAATTCAGTAAAATTTTTATAGAAAAAGCTAATTGTAAGCAAATTATAATTCACAAGTCTGGATGGTTGTAGTTCTAAAATAAAATATTCAATAATTGGTACTACACAATTATTTTAAAATCTCTGGAATCTATATATTTATATATATATTTGTATATATAATTATAATTATATATTTGAGTTGATGACTCTATGGCGCAGTTGCCAAGGTATTGGCTTCGGTGTCGGGGTTCGTGGGTTCCATTCCCACACGGGACAACTATTTGTGTGACCCACATGAAATTTATGTTTGTAAAACGTCCTTACAACACATGATAATGTTATCCTAAAGTAAGCAATGTTTTTTGAAAAAAAATTCAATTATATATTATTCTATCGTCGTAATTGACGTGGTCAGACCGCGAAGCTGGTGCTGGACGAGTACTTCGAGAGTGCGGGCGCGCTGGAAGCGCTCGGCGCCGGCTCTGGGGACTTCTTCACGCTGTCGCAGCGGCCCGGCGCGGCGCTTCTCCTGCGCGACGACACGCTCAACGGCGACGACGACGTGTTCGCGCCCTCGCACGCCGCCGACGACGCTCAAGGTAGCGCTCTCGCGCGGTATCTAAGCGACGCAGTTGCCAGGATGGTTGTGGGCTCTGTTCCCATGCGGGACAACAGTTTGTGTAACCGACAGATGATTGTTTCCCATCTGGGTGTTTGTTCACGTGGAATTTATGTATGTAAAACGTCCATATCAGATAGCGAATGTGTATTTTTCATGTGTGCAAGACCCTTAAAATAGGTTTGAGTAGCTGTGCTGTAATATTTGGAATAATCCAAGTTTTGCTTAATTACATCAACATTAAGTTGTATAGGGCAGACATCTCAGTGTTACATTAGGGTGAAACAAGGCTTAAATGAAATTGTTTTATTGTTTGTTGGTACTTTAAGTTTTCGCTTAATATATTTTGTTTAGAAACTGTGCATGTAAAAAAAATTACATTTCAAGAGTTTGGTAGAAAAATTTACTAATTTTTAATTTGGAGTATACTTGCATCTCTACTACTTAAAAGCATGTTGGACAACACTACAAGCTAATAATATTTAGTCAATAGCATGATGGTGTGAAGATGAGAAACAGGTGTGCGGTTTTACAGTTTTGAGTATTAATTTTATAAGAAAGCAGTAGCGACTGACTGAAGCATTAGGTGTAGAAATAGTAGGACTCCTCCATAGTTCAATGGCGTCATACTTGTAGAAACATTTTTATTGAAATAATTTTTCATATTTTTTTCAAATTACTTCACATTTTTAATATAATTGAAAAAAGTTATATCTATGTATCATGTTTTATTTTATGTTCCATATATGTATTAATATTATTTAAAATCACATTCATATAATAATACACAGTTGTGGCTGGGTGTTTTCCAAATTTGTCGGAATTAACGGAAATTTTAAAAACTGTTTATTAATCATATCCACCCATTACTCTTTACCACTATGGTAACCCGATTTTTATATTATAGGAAGAATAACTGCCAAGGCGCTACATTTTCAATTAAATTGCTCATAATAGAAAAAGATCAGGAAACGGTTGTTACATTATAAGGACGATTTCACACGTTGGCTCAAATAGTATTCACGCAACGTGTGGAGGACGTAGGACCCCTAGAATTTATTATGATCCAATATACTCGCAGTACACACATTGGACACTTGCACAGTCGACAGTCTGACTTGCTAAATTGAATAAAGATGCCAAATGAAAAATGATTTCTTAATTTTGAAATTCTAAATGAATACACGCTTCATTGAATCATTTCATTTCACTTTGTTTCAAGATACTAATAATCAATATTTCAATAATGTTAAACTAATATTACTGAAATATAGTATATTTTACAGCTAAACTACCTAAAAATATTGTTTGCGTAATTCGCGCATTCGCACCTTGGTTTTTTAGTGTTGCTTTTGGCAGTTATTTTTAGATAGAGATTGGGTTTGACCGTACATGACCGGCTGTGGTAATTCGCCATGGGCGTTGCGAAGCGTGACGTGATGCACGTTGCGTCACGTGGTGACACTCGTATTGTAAGGTACCGTAACGAGCGTTGCGTGCGTGACGTGGCGAGTCGTAGCCCATACTGATGTAACATCAGCCACGTCATGAATGGTGACTTGCGTGTCGTTACTCGGCATAACGTGACGTGACGTGGCATGATGGAATATGTCATGACGTGACGTGTCGACGTGCGTTGTGTGCAGCGGCGGGCGCGGGGGATGGCGAGTACACGCCGCGCCGCCCGCGCTTCTCTCGCGCTACCAGCACCGACAAGAACCAAGGTAAGATGACCCGTCACGTGCATTTTTATATGTTACACGAGACGCCGATTGGAGTACATGATGCACCTGTCGGAAATTAATGGAGACACGTTTTTAGTAACAATTTATATTTGGATAAACACCATGCCGATTATATTTATGTAATTACTATAAGTATGTTAATGTATTATATTTTAGCATGGTAACACCATTTTCGTAACTAATATACCGACTCATGTAACTAGTATGCAGAAGTCAGTCACTAACAGTATTTTAAGTTTTTAAATTGACATGTTTTGTTTTTGAGTGCGATCGTTTTGCTAACCAGTTACTGCACAGTTTGTTTATTGCGAAACCACTAAGGAAGGAAGATTCCTATGTACTTCTTTTTTAATTTGTTGCTGTCGGAACGAAGCGCCTAATAGCTCGTTTCATTTTCTGATATGTGTTTCTGTGAGGCATGCTGTCTATTATATTTTATCTATCCAAATGTTTGTTGCTACTTTTAAGTGGTTGCAGTAGGTTGCGGCTTCGTTGTCGAATGCGCTGCGTGCATGTCTAACCACGCTTGAGTTTGCAGAAACTTCGTACGAGTACATGTAGCTTTCGTTAATTTCGGACGTGTCCGGTGTATAAGTGCACGTTGCTGAGTGCCCTTGCCCAGATGGGAAGAGCGCCGGTCGGGCCGTCGCTCGGCGACCGGCCGCGCGGGGGCGGGGTGCATAGTGAAGAGAGTCCGCGTGTTGGCAGGTGCCGCCGTCTCGCGGCAGACGTACACGTACGAGACGCTGGTGCAGTACGCGGACTCGCCGCTCAGCAAGCTGCCGCCCGCCGGCCTCGCCGCCTTCCCGCCGGAGCTGGCGCGCAAGGTAACGCCGCGCCGCGAGCCGCGCCCCCCGCCCGCCCCCCACGCCCCGCACGCCCCCCACCCGACCCACGCCGCCCACGCGCCCGTCTCGCAGCGCCTCCTGGCCCCATTCCGCGTCTGGCCCCCCCTCCACCACCCCAACTACCTGGCAGCGCTGCTGTGCCGCAACTTCTACTGAACACTACACGCGCACCGCTTGCCCGTTTTCTATATCAAGCTTTTTGATATTTTACTCGTACTGTCGGTGGGGCCATTTTGCTTTCCTAGCTCGGCTCCGCGGCCTCCGCGTGTGCGACGAGCGCTCCGCATTGACGGCGCGCCTTGCGCACTCGACTTTCGCGGTCCCAACAGGGTTGCGTTGTGTCGCTTAGTGTCTGCGCAGTGTCCAGATTAATGTCGGATCTTTGCCGTATCCTTTCCTTTCCCAGCACCACTACAGCGAGGCGCCCGCGGCCGGTCGCAGCGGCGCCGGCCAGCCGTAGAGCTCTGCTGCGATCTTCCCTCCTCCCACCGTCCGTCCCGTTTCGCGGCGGCCGCGCCGGCTTTTCGACTTCGGCCCAAAGTGACTTTTGCCTTTGATTTCGAAAAGGTCCGAAGCGGTCGCCCGATAATCGCATGGACACGCTCGAATGTGTTCCCAATCCACACCAGTGAATCTTCTAAATTGGAAAAGTTTTCTGGTTCAGTAAATGTAACCGAGATTAACTTTCGCATTGTTCTTATATGTTGGAACGAACACATTCGATACGCTTGAAGCTTTTGCGCGAATTTGCACTGATACATGATCCTGCTGCTCTACGCACTTTGTGTATTATACTAACCGGAATAAAAGCTTTAAATGTTTTTGGTTCGAAATTTAAACTGTAAAATTGTTATGTATTTATTGGTAAGAAAGTAAAACCACACTGTCCTTGCTAGGAATAAAAATATAAGCATATTTCCTATACTAAGGATGCCAGATTCAATTACATTGACAAGACTGATTTTAATCATAGAAAACATGACAGTAATTAGCGGTAAAATTTAAATTAAATAGTGACTAAGATTTAATATGATCTCATACATTATGTGCCATTTGATTTATAGATTAAATTTCATTAATTTCAATGGTGACAATTCTTGAAATTTTTTTACTTATTCGTCAATTATATTTGTTGCATTTAATTAAGTCTTTATGTATGTTTTGAATTTATTTACATTTTGGAAAGTTCCTACAAATTGTTATTGTTTGTTCGTGCTGCTTGGATAGAATGGGTATTCGAGAGAAGTTCGCTACAGGTAGAGGGTTTGTACACGGCGGATCGAAAATATATTGATCTCTAATATATCGAAGTGATATTGTATTATGATTTACTATGATTGTTAAAAATTCTATAGTGTTATTTACCATTGTCAAATTGATTTTTAAATAAATCTTAAAAGCTATTGTGGTCTTTGCTTGTTCTATTGCTTTCCAACTAACTGTTTTGCTTATGTATTTATTTTTCTGACAACCCCTTACACAGCTTGTTTAACAAACTGAATGTCTTCGCACGCTACTAATACAGCAGTGGCTTAGGCATGCGTTGATAAAAGTAAATTAAAAACACCTCGCATGCAGCTGTTGCGGTCGAAGGTAAATGTTTCTAGCATGCAATTTGACCATAGAATAATTTGTCTCTTGTCTATTACATTAGGCGAACGTTTGCACTGATATGAATGAAATAAGAACTTACCTTAGCCAAAGTGTCACAGTTCAATGCGCAATTTTACTCCATTTGGTTTTTCGTATTTTGTATACAGCATGCCGTTACCATCGCGACAATAAATGAACACACGTCTAACGCTACTTGTCAATAATCATAAAAAATATGAAACGTTAAAAAAAATCCATAATTAAAAAAAATATAATCCAAACTAATTGAGTAAAAAAGAAACAAAATTTGTAACATCCATACAGCTCGCGCCACAGCGTCGTTTTACAAGCCTCTCCTAACAGTATGTTTTGTCTCTTAAATTTATTCAACCCATTCATATACTTTGTGACCATGAACTTTACGTTACAGTTTTATAGGTAAGGGTGTTCTAAAATTCTTTGTTATGGAAAATTTAATAACTGTAAATATTGATGTTTAAAGAATTTAAATGTTTAATACAATTTTAAAAAGTTATCCTCTATATATGTGTGTTCATTTATTGTTGCGATTGTAAAGACACGCTGTATAAACATTAAGGGGCCATTTCGTGTTAGGCTTCTACTTAGTGGCTTATTTCGTTTATCCCAGATCTGTCATAGGTTTTCCATATGATAAACCATTTTAAGAGCATTGCTTTAAAATTAAAAGAATGATAGGTTTTTTCGCAATTGAGAACACGGACACTCAAAATCTTACAAACGTTTTCAAGAGTTAATGCATCTACCAAAATTTTTCTCTACGCTCGAGGTTGATTGGTATGAATGCCAATCGGCATTATGTCCGCCATTTGTAAATCCCTGATTAAGATGTTACATTAAAAGATAAAAAAGCAGCTAATGGGATACGTATCGGCTTGAATGCGTGCAGTAACAAGCAGCGTGATATCGACAGAGTTGCCTGGAGTTCGACAGCGCCAGTTACCTGAAGAAGGTGCGCGCCGCAGCCGCCACCACGGTGGTCGCTCTGGACGCGCCCGATTCGCCTGAGCCCGAGTAAGCGCCTCCGCGCAGATCGAAAATCGCCCGATCACAACTGGCACCTAACACTGGCATACTTTTATATGCGCCAGACGATTGTCAAAGTTAATATTTCGTGTTTTTATTAATATAATTCTACAAGGTTCGTTTAATGAGTTCTTGGCGCAATGATCGCACGAATGTAATTTTTTTCGCAAGCAACAAATTATCGACTGCGTAATCGCTTGTGATAATGGATATGTGTCATTAAAATAGCCCTATAACCAGTTCGGTTTTTACTGCAATGTCTCATATTCGTGCTCATTTCTGTCAGTAAACAAATTAATTGTATGTTCTGGCAGCGTAACATTGACGGTCGTCCGCCGCTTTTATTTGTTATCTTCATGCACCCTTAGCACAAATATTTACACAATATTTAATTAGCATACAAGCCAATATTTGGGCGAGCCTTAATACCACTCCAAAACGTTTAAGTGATCTTTGTAAGGGCAGCTAATGAAATCCTATTAGTCATTTATATTCGGAGTATGTTATAGCATGCGATCATTTTTATTCTTGACGCATATTTGCTATAGCTTCTACTCTAAAAAGATTTTATGAGCCGTGGATTTTATCAATATAATGTTATTTAGGTAGCCGTCCGTAGTTGGATTTTTTGCTTTTTATTATACTAATTTAGCGGACTTAAATTACTAAAAGTATTAGCTCACCAAAATTAATAAATTTTTATATTGGTATATACTTCATTAAAAAAAAAACGGTCAAGCTGATTGTGTGGTTATTGTCATAATAATATATGTGGAATAAATATTTGCAATGTTTATTACATTGAATCAAAAGTCTGCAAATAAATCTTGCAGTTTATTTGCGTTGCTATGTCGTTTACATCCACATACATCAATACATTCACATGCATATTTTGAATATGATAGAATAAATATTTATTTCAACTACAAAGGTCCTTTTAGATGAATGTTTTATTAATTCGACTGTAAACGGCTTACACGAACTTTTTGATGTAAATATTGACTTAACGAACGTCATAGAAGGATTCCATTAATTAATATAAGAAGAATGCATGCATTTCTCTGTGTGATTGTTTACTCATTCATATTTATAGTCTAGTCCTGTCACGTAGGTGTTTGATTCTCACTACTCAGTAAGCTTTTATTTTTCAGAGGATTAGAGGAGGCCTAGCAATTTATAATTTCTTATACAATATTTAAAAATATTAATATTTTGAGATTGTTATAAGAAATCGGATGTTATATTATTTAGAGTTTTATATTAAATGAAAACTGCTGTGCCTTAAACCAAATATTTTAAAATATTGCAAAGCTTCCTTTTGCTATTTTACTTATGTTATATTGAATAAACAACTAAAATAAAAACGAATATAATATAAAGACTGTTCATATGTAATTTTCAAAAAAATTTTAAAAATGTAATTTTTAAAAACTTTGTTTTCTGGAAGTGGTCTACGAGCCCAAAAATGGTTGTGTGATATCAATATAATCTGTGTGAATTTTTTTCTAAAAACTTTGTTTATTCATTGGACAAAAAAATATGTACCAGTTATTCCTCATTTTATATGTAACATTACTTTAATATTGATATTTTAGCACTTCCTACCAATCGTTTCTTAATGTATGAAAATATTTTATAAAATATTTAAAAACAAAACAACATTGACGGTGCTATTCGGCAAAGTATTATGTATCGTTGATATTTAAATAAATGTTTATACTATTGTTTTTTTGCCACATAAAAGGCTACTGTGGAAATTTATGATATACTAAATTTTCTAATAAAGAAACATTTTGTTTTATTCCATTCCCAAATTTTAAGTGATTTCGCTGCATTTCAAATAACTTGCTTCAATCATAATCTTTTCTATAATACTAATTTACCGATCGCTTGTATCCGCCTTGTGCCGTATCTTGTATTAACTGATGTTTTTGCTTTCATTCCCGATACTATTAAAGCTTCATCTGACGCAGAACCGGTGGGCTAGCCAGGACCCATGGGTTTGGGGCTTGCCATGTGTAAGAATTCCTTCCGGTAGGCGATGAAATCGCCAAAAATTCGAAAAAGCTCTTAAAAGATGATTGCACTGTTAATATAAGTTATATTAACAAACCAATGAGAAATAAAATAAATTTTCTTAATATTTACAATACGTTTTATGTTCTTGATTCTATAATTACATATTACAACAAGCCAAGCAAAGCCCGTGAGTTACATAAAGCAAAGTTTTATTTAAAACTCACATCGACATGTACGGATAATAAATACGGATTTGTAATAAATTTCCCGGTATTTTTCAAAATGCACGTGTATTTTTATTCACAGTCATTTTTACAATGTTTCCATTGTATATTTAAGGAGACGACGGAAAGATAATTTGAGACATATTTTGAAAATCAATTAAAGTACCGTTATAATTTGATTTTCATATTAAATTAAACATAATTATCATCCAAATCGAAGAGCAAGCAAGCAAGATGATTAATCAAAACAATTTACATTACAGACGATTAAAAAACAAGTCAGTACTCCACATTAGTTTTCCTATGGAATGCATTCTTAAACAGTAAATGGCTCCATAATAAACATTCTATTTAAACATTCGTTGTAACGATATGAGCAGCACTAAAGTACTGAGATAAAAATATGTTATAAAATTATATGTTATATACATCTACCCACTAAATAATGAAAAAATTGAAGCTTCAAGTCACTTTCTTACTATTATAGTTGCCATTAACACCAAAGGTAAAAATTGGAACTGCTGTGGAGAATGATTAAATGCGAATGAATTAATTTTCTTTCGAATATCTTGACATCTAAGATTAGGTACACTTAGTCATATAATATTACAGATAATTATAATTATATTTTATCAGCACATTATTAAATCGGTAACAACTAATAACAATACAGAAACTAACTACCTATGCTGTCAATTGCAACTGCAAACTTTTAAAATTGCATTTAATTTCATATTACTTAGAATGTAATCGTTTTAAATAAATTAATAATTTAAATATTTATTTTAAACAATAATAAAATGTCAATAAATTAAGCAGGACATTAGTGACAACTTTATACTTAATAAAATAAATTTTTCATCTAGTTGTGTTATGTAATAAGATTAAATTGTGAGGAAGTATGAAGTCATTTTATCTTAACATAAAATAAATGAGTACCTACTCAACCGAGAACACTGACCTACAATATTAGTAATACAGTTCTCAGAAAATTTTTAAATGAATTCATCTGATGTTAAGTCGTAACATTTTTTTTTCTTGTGAAGATATGAATTTCTATTGCAAAACCCTCAAAAAGTAAAAAATTGGTACCAAACATTTATATTAGCAACCCTCAGTCCTTGTTCCAAACTTGTGGGGGATTAGGTTATTTCCAACTACCCGTACAAGACAACTTAACAATATTCTTTAATCTCAATTAAACTTTATCAAATTAAAAGTAAATAATAAACTTATATGCATTTTTACATGATTCTTTTATGTCTATTTTTTTAACAAGTATTTTAAGGATACTGACCTAAATTTACATTTTAATAATTAGATTCCATCAGCCAGAGACGAGAAATATTGCCCACAAACCTTCTTCTACACTTCACCTTCTTTTACAATTATTACAAAAAGAAGTTTAGCTATAGCCAAAACCGCTTACAATATTATTCACATGTTATGGCGACCCCACCTAGGTGGGATAAGGGCAGGAGGATGATGATGAATTACAAAAGTAAGTTGTTTATATTTTAGGCAAATGTGAAAATGGCCGTTGAACAGCTTAGAAATACGCTCTTATAAGTTTGTTATATGCGCAAGAAAACGACATTTAAGTCAATACAGGTACATACATGATTTTCATGGAGAACGATAAAAATTTATTAATTTAGTTTAATTCATTATTTGGGAAGTTGAATAATCATAGAATACGTAATAACTATGCGCTACTTTGAAATAAGTTAAGATTCTTAAGATATTAGAATTTGAATACACATTTATGTATTCATCAAAGCCTTTTTGGACATTACATGGCTAAGAATAGATGAAGATAAAGATGTTTTTATAGATGTGGTTCCATCGGCAAATATAACTTAACACATGTCAGTAACAACATACACTAATAGGTTTTGTTTAATTTTTCATAGCAAATACGAGGCAATATAAGCTATGACGTAACTATGTACTACCAAATAATTATCTATATGCTCAATTCCAATAAAATGTTGTTGTGTAGACAGTTGACATCAGAGTTGAAATTTTTTGTAACCATCACTTGTACAAAATGCAGAAATTATTATTTATTAGATTCGTGTTGGTTTTACGACAAAACATAGAGGGTAAATACTACGTCAGTAAGTGCCAATTATATTTATTCCTCAGTGGGTATTAGGGCATAGTCTGGCATGCGACCTCAATATGAGGTTGCAGATTTCACTTGTTTTGGAAATATTTCTTTTTTTATTTATTGTAAGTCTCCTCACGGTTACTGGCGTTACAGCTACATCACTTCTATAATGACATATATATGAACATATAATATGTACTTGGCGAAGATTGGACGCATTTTCTTAATGTCTAAATAGTTACTTCTTAATACTGGAACGACTGAACCCAGTACTCTGTATGGGTTACAACACTAAAGTGGTAAGTTTTTATTCTAAACGCTATGGGAGAGTATTTGGGTTTAATATTCAAGGTAATGCGGAGCTCATGTTTTCACTACACGTTGATATACAGTTGCGAACCTTATTAGAGATTACATGTGCAAACCAAACTTCATTTATGCGTCTGCAGAGAGACAGAATGGTTCTCTCATTCGCGCCGCAGTGCAAATCACTTTCTATCTCGCTTCCACAGCAAGAGTACAGTTGCGCGCAGCATCGCTGTTCGGTTTTTTGAACGAGACCATAGCAAGTTGATGTACAGTTGCGCACAGCGAAGCTGTTCGCTTTTGTTACCGTCAACAACATGAAGATGGCATACATTTGTGCACAGCGTTGATTTTCGGATTTGTTTACGTAGACCAAAGCAAGTTGATGTACAATCGCGTACAGCGATGCCGTTCGGTTTAGTTAACGTAGACGACAGCAATTCGTTGTACGGTTGCGCACAGCGATGCCGTTCGGTTAAGTCGACGTGAACGACAGCAAGTCGATGTACAGTTGCGCGCAGCATCGCTGTTCGTTTCTGCCAAGTAAGATTCGTAGCGGTACCGGCGGCAAGGCTTTTCGCGCACGACGTTACATTGGTGCGGCGGGTGCGCCTAGTTTCTGTCCGCGAGCTTGTCCGTGATGTTGGCGGCGCGCGAGCGCGCGTGCTGCATCACGTCCTCGGCGAGGTCCTCCACGCTGGTGTAGCGGCAGCGCGCAAAGCTGAACAGGTCCTGCACGTAGCCCACCACCTCGGCCTGGAACGCGAGGCACACCTCGCGCAGCCGCTCGCGCGGCCCCAGGAAGCCCCACACGAGCACCGGCAGCAGGTGCTCCGACACCGAGTAGAAGTGCGCCATGAACCCGTCCGGGTGGCGCAGGTAGCGCCGCTTCGCCTTTATCACCGACCACACCGCCGTCGTCAGCGCCTGAGGGTTGGTTCATCAAGTTGTACACTTCCTTTGGCGCGTTTCGGAAATATGATGCGGGTGTTTTTGCGTGGACTATGGCAACCGATAACTACATTTTTGAAATTGACTTACAAGTCCAAAGTCTTAATTAAACCGTTATCAATTGCATTTAACGTCTTTTTAGGGTTACTAAGACTGCGCTGTCTGTCTGTCACCAGGCTGTATCTCATGAACCGTGATAGCTACAGTTGAAATTTTCACAGATGATATATTTCTGTTGCCGATAACAACAAATACTAAAAAACATAATAAAAAAATTCTTAAATGGGACTATATATACAGCAGTAATATACGGAACAGTTTGTGCTGAGTCCGACTCGCACCTTGCCGGGTATTTTTGTTAAACAAAGAGTGACACGGAGACGGTCTAGAACTTTAAGTAGCTTTTTGTGTCGGATAAGTATTTTACGACATCAACCGTCTAGCGCTTTTAATTCATTATATTCATGCTTTGAGAGAATCTGGCACTGACGCTCTCCTTGAAGCCGTCGGAGAGCCAGCGGTTGCGGACCACCGCCAGAACAGAAGACGGGGGCGCCGCCAGGTCCTCGAAGGCGTCCAGCAGTATGTAGTCCAGCACCACGTCGTAGAAAGACAGCACCTAAGCCAATTCGTAAGGGAGAGAAGAAGAGATAAGACCAGCGTTCAATTTTCGTTCAAAAATGCAGCAGCATATTATGTTATGACTAGGGTTGCCAACTGTTTTTGAGAAAAATAACGTATCACATTTTTCAAATAGGGGAAAAGTATTTGGACGAAAATAGGGTATTTTTAAAAATTTTATGTATTTATTATTTATTACATAATATTTAATCAGAGTTTCTGTATTCCAAGTACGAAATATTTGGTTTTAAATGCAGTTGACTATTGTATAAGCCTGTTGTAGTAGAGAATATTATTTAAAGAATGATCCTGTATTATGAGTACGATATTCAAAGTTTAAGATAATTATATACATGTAAGTAGTTTTGAAAGTAGTTAAATCAAACTGCACCTTAACACCTTTGCTTGTAAGCTCATCCTCTATTGTAGTCCAATTGGCGACGTCTGTCGCCCACGACACCATCTCCTCGTACGCAACTAGAAACTCCTTTGGCTCCTGAAATATAATACAATGTTATTTTTATAATTAATATTAAACCCTCTTAAGCTGTTTCGTATACAAAAGACCTAATAAAAAAATGAGTAAAATTTCTTGCTTCGACACCCATCACATAAGTTCTGCGCTTGTCGTAAATTGAATGTTTGTAAAATTTTGCTTAATAAATTCAACTCATTAAAAAAATTCGATTAAGACCTCATCCACTGAAATAATTAAAACGGTAAATAAGTTTTTTTGAAATTCGTAAGAAATAAAGATAAAAGAATCTTGTCTCTCAATTTTTAATCATTTAATTTTATGTAATTTAAAACCAATAATTGTTCCCTAAATATTGTAAAATAATTAGAACTTATTTTGTTTTAACATTTTATATTTTAAAACCAGCAACCAGGCTGTCAAGTTTAAATTTCCAACGCAACGGCTAAAGAGAATAATTATATAGGCTAATTTACTTATTTTGAAAAATTGGTTAATTATATGCCTTAACATCTCTTTCACTCCAAAAATCTTTTCTTGCAAAATATTAGATTATTTTAAAAGGAGAAATCAAATCACAAAATCTTGCTCAAGTCGAATCACTCACAAAATTGATGCGACTGCACCCGAGAGAATGTAATCACTACGTTTACTGCTTTGCACGGAATGACGTAGTTAATACTTTCTGATTGGGGTTCACTGTCACCTATTATTTCCGAGTTTCTTTTTTGAAAGTAATAAAAATGTTAAATTTTGAGGAAAAATAGTCTCCATACAATTATTCTATTATTTTCCATGTAAACTGGTTTATCTAAAATTTCCAATGGAATCTTTAACGGACAAAGTTAACTACAATAAATCTTCTAGGTGGCAGTGGCCGCTGATTTGTGTGGAAGGATCCACACAAGCCATGACGGCCAGGTTAAAACTATTATTGAATCGTTTACCATTGCAGATCAAAGGCTGTTGGTGAGAAGTTGCTACGGGCCCCGCGCCTGCTTAATCCGGCACTAGTAGGTACCTTTTTTTTAATTTATATATTTTTACACAACGTTCTCTAGTCTCAAATTAAACGACGGTTGTACTATGGGTAATTAGATAACTGATAAACATATTTTTCTTTTGCATATAAATGCACATTACACATATAGACCCGGACTCTAGAAAAACACTACGTTCATCAAACAATATTCTTCCGGGATCGAACCCAGGCCCTCTAGCGCAGGAGGCAGGTACACTACCCACTACGCCGTTCGGGGTGGTAGGGCCACGCAGCCGCCTCGGCTGTTACACGAATGGGCAGGCTCGTCCGGGTAAGCAAAATGATCTCACAGAAGACACTGTTTATACTTTAGTGTAATACTTTCGCGTTTCGTCTGATGAGTGACGTGACCGGAGCCCAATTTTCAGAAGGTCGTCAACGCGTCTGGAACCCTCGGGTGTAGCAGATGTCCAGGGCGGCGGTATTCACTTGGCATCAGGTGAACCGCCGGCTCCATTTGCCACTTATTGACATAAAAACTAAAGTTTCACAATGAGATGAGTGCGTTTTAATACGCGGGGCCCGTGGCAGTCGCTACTCCCGCTGCGCGGTTAGTGCGGCGCTGCCTGCTCCCGGTGGAAAAAGCGCCGTTGGGGCCGTCACCTTGTCGGCGAAGAGCAGCAGGTCGGTGAGCACCTGCCTGCCGGCGTCCACGAACCACGCCCAGGCGGCCGCGTCCCTGAACACGTTGGCGAACGCGAGCCGCAGGCAGTGCAGCTTGCACAGGAACTCGGAGTCGGCGCCGCACTGCACCACCTCAGTGCGCAGCGTCCTGCCACACACACGCTCTATTGTCGACGTCTTTTGGGGCCCCGTTACCAAGACTCCGACGTCAGTCTGTCTGTACGTCGGTCACCAGGCTGCATCTCGTGAACCGCGAGTGGACAGAGTGGGACAGTTGAAATTTTCACAGACAGGTGACGTATTCCTGTTGCCGCTATAACGACAAATACTAAAAAACAGAGCAATAAAATATTTAAGTGGTGGCATACAACGGACATGATTTTTTAGATGTTTTTATAGATAATGGTACGGAACCGCATTAGTCCAACTTGCATTCGGTCTGTTTTAATGTAAAGAGCGATAACCGCCGCCTATGGTTTCACCTTACCTGTTACCGGTTACCTCACTCACCAAACGAAACGCGAAAGTATAATAATGCCCCTTCACACCGGTATTCTGTGAGGCCGTAGTACTTCCCCAGACGGACCTGCCCATTCCTGCAACAGCGAGGACTGTAGCGTGGACCTACCTACCTAATGTATTGTGTAAAAAGCATTGGCGAATCCGTTATAGTCTAAAGGACTGTTTGCTTTCAATTTTAGCACACCTATAAGGAATTCCAACTTCCAGCTGTTTGACGGCCATCTGGTACAGTTCCAAGTTGTCCGTTTCAGCAGAAATCTCTGGGAAGTCGTCTAATTCTCTTAAATCTGCCACCTGGAACGTATTTAATAATAGTTTAAAATTCATGCTAATTTCCAAGTTCTAAAAACGGAGCAAGTACTGAAGGCACGGGTAATAAATAATCCGAAATACCACAATTAACCACGCCTTCAATCATAACCCGTCTAAAACAAATCTAAAACGATTCATCAATCAATCCGTGTCACACTCATTCAGACCTGATATTTTATAAGAACAGCGTTGTTACATGAGAAATATCACACCTCGAGTGGTAGACGATCAATCGTCGGTAATCGAGTCGAGCATTCATTATTGGCACAAAAACCTAAACCACAGTCTAGTCCGTGTGTTTAGCTGCTGAACATGTACTACGTACATTAAGCTAACCAAACTCCAATCCTGTGGCCGAACCATTCGACCATTTTTCACTCGCTGGTCAGGAGCCAGATCGTGTGCTTGAGATTTATTAGCCTTCCTGCACTCCAATCCTTTGGCCAGACTATGCTACCTTCAATTTCCACGGATCAGAAAACAATTCGGGAGCTAGCGTATGACAAAATTGGTCCTCCACTGAGGCGAACGACTACACGCTGGAGTGGAGTTCGCGGCGCGTATGTGAAATTATTCCCTGGGTTATCGATCAATCGTCGGTGATCATCGACGTCGAGCATCCAGTATCAGCACAGACACCTAAACCACAGGCTAGGCCGTGTGCATGAGCCACGTAATGCGTATCATTAGGCAAGAGTCTAGAGGATACCTATGGAGTCTCTTTCGAGTATTTCTTCTCCGTTGGAGGAACCTCATTACGAAACGGTGGGGGATTTAAAAAACAATAACCAACGATAGATGAAATGTATGTTTATTATGTCGATGTATAAATGGTTATGATTGTAAAGTTTTTATAGTGCTAATCTCTGCACTTAAAATTGAATGAACATTAAAACATGTAGAAAAAGTACGAAAAGATTGTCGCCGCTGTGGGAATCGAAAATCGGCTGAGCCGTTTAGCTCAGTGGCTAGAGCGTCAGGCCGCGCGAATGCCGAAGACGTAGTTTCGATTCCCACAGCGGCGACAATCTTTTCGTATTTTTTCTACATGTTTTAATGGTTATGATTGGTAATTAACTCCAAACTGTGGCCGAAGTGTTTGTCACAAAACCGGTGGTGGTGTGTGAAAAATCGAAACGCTCGCCTGGTCCTCAGCGGAGGCGAAGGACTCCGCGCTTGAGTGTAGTTCGCGTCGAGTGTGCGACGAGGCGGAGTGGGCGTGCGAGAGCAGCCGCGACCTGCCCCCCGCCGCCGCCTCGCCCCCGCTCTCCGAGCGGAACAGCACCGAGCGCTGGTCTAAGAACAGCAGCTCGCACCGTTCCTGCGCGAACACCACATTCAGCCTCGCTTCACGCGTTACAGGTTGACGAACAAGCGGCTGACCCTGATGTACTTAACATCAGCATTATCGAGTACCTTCCACGGCCATGCAACAGTGTTCAATATTGCACTAATGGCCCGGGTGAGTGTTACATTTCTGCGCTTCGTCTGGTGAGGTAGCCGGGTCCCACTTTATTTAAAGGTGGCAACGCATTAGCAACCCTACGGGTTTTACAAATGTTCATGGGCGGCGGTTATCACTTAACATCAGGTGACGACAGCTCGTTAGCCACTTTCTCAAATAAAAAAAAGGATTAACGTCGCCCTGATACACCTAAGAGACAGCCCCGTCTTTGCGCGAACGCTACATGTACCTCGCTTCACGTGTTACAAGTCGGCAGACGAGACGGCTTTAACACACTCAAGGGGTTTGAAATGCGTTGCCAACCTCAAAAGAGGTCCTCGGTGACCTCACTCATGAGATTAAACAGGAAAGTATAATGCCGGTCTTCTCCGGGGCTGTGGTACCAGACGAGCCTGCCCATTCTTGGGACAGCCAAAGTTGTTGCACGAATAGTGCTAGTCTACGCACTCGGGATGATAAATTTAATGTGAAATATTTGTGCATAGAATAGATTGCCGAAATATTTATTTACATAAATGTCATGTTTGAATTAAACTTGTTATATTTTCCACCCGAAACAATTGTTTGCATGCTGTGGTGATATAATTATATTCCAATTTGTTTTGTTTGACTTCGTCGTTTGTTTGTAAAATACTTCCACAGGACGTAATACGAACGTCCGGCAGTTGGTTAAATAACATTTTTATTACAAAAACAAAAAAACATTTTTAATACAATAATAAAACAGACTTGCGATACATTTGCTATTGATTTTGAGAGGTTGTATCTTCGAAATTCAAAGTATTGAATGAAATGAAAATGGGACCCCTTGAAAATATCTGTTACATAATATATACAACCGAATAAGCAACGAAGTCCTTGCAGTACCCTACAGGCTAAGATATTATATGAAAAAATGAAGTTATGACGACGCATTGTTAAAAGATTTTAATATAAATATTATGTAATTTTTTTTCGACGACCTGAATGGCGTAGTCGGTAGTGTACCTGCCTTCTGCGCCAGAGGGTGTGGGTTCGATCCCCACTACTGGAAAAATATTGTGTGATGAGTTATAGTGTTTTTACATAGTGTTTTTCACATAGTGTTTTTCTAGTGTCTGGGTGTTTATATATGTATAATGTGTATTTTTTTACAAAAGAAAAGTATGTTTAAGTATGTCTATCAGTTTTCTAGTACCCATAGTACAAGCGTTGCTTAGTTTGGGACTAGAGAACGTTGTGTAGAAAGAATGTGTCCTAAATATAAAAAAAATAACATCTTTTAAGAAGGATATAGGGATCATAAAGTTTATGGAAAAACTTATTAGACGGTGATAATTACTGATAATTTGGTGCATATCCTTCTTGTTGCGTATCATTGAAACTTCCTACACTGCCATGGCCAATAAGAGGCTGCCACTTGAAAACCATTCATCCCCATTGGCTGTGCTCTACGAGCTAAATGGCCGGTCCATTACCATCACAAATTGCCATAATATTTACCAAAATTTTGTGGCTTTAAGAAAAAATTGACACAACAAGATTTTGTCGAGCTATGCGAATTTGTGGCTGTTAATAGAAGGAACCTAATCACGTGCTCGGCGATGAAGGAAAGCATCCTGAGGAAACTTGCATATATTCAAAATAATTTAAAAAAATATTTCGAAGATACGTAAAGTCCGCCAATCCGCAGTGGCTTCGCGTGGTGGACTATGCCTTAATATTCTCTGTAAAGATATTATATAAGCTGTTAACTCTACTTTTTACCTGTAGGAGGTAAGCATTCTGGAGCAGTTCCTGTATCTCCCGACAGAACTCCGCCTCCTCCGGCGAGGTGAGCGCCAGCGTGCCGGAGACCCCGCCGCGAGCACCCAACGAGAACGCCGCCAAAGCGTCCTCCCAGTAGTTTATACTCGTCTCTAATGCCTCCATGCCTGGTGACAAGTTATGCCTTAATTGAGTGAACCAACCAAATTAATCAAAATAACAAAGTTATCATCCTACTAAATGAATCACGGAAAGATAAATATCTATCGAAATTAATAACCACTGATTTGTTTGCTCGTAGGTGATTTTTTGTAATTTTTTGGGAAAATAAATACCTTTAACATAAACCGTCGATGGCTTATACCTGGTTATAACTGCATGTCTGCTGCATATATCATAGACCATGAATAATACTATTCTCTACATAAAGAGGGACTGGCTTATCTTCTTTTATTGGAAAGAACAATAGGCAATCCATAGTAATGAGGGAGTTTACGCAAAGTCAAATCAATCATTAGTCATGCATAATAATTAGAGGCAGTATAATATCCCTAAATCTTTACTTGAATTCAATGATTACTTTATCGGTTGGAAAGGAACGCTATTAATTAAAATTTATTTGTCTACCTTCTGGAATAAACAGTCTGGAAATTACAATTCAATTTTTTTAACAAATAAGATGACGAGAAGAGTAATGAAGTAAAATAAACAATGGATATAAAACTTTAATTTGACATGAATTATATTAAGCAGTATACATGTTAAATTACTTATTCCTATATATTTACACAAGGTAGTAGCATAAAATTTTAAAACAATTTACATTCAAGTACTATGAGAACACGTCGTCTCTTATGGGAGGTCCATTTGTTTGCACATTGTTCATTTGGTGCAGGTCTTGCAACGCGTCTTGTATTCCGCTGTTCAGGTCCTGCACGGTGCCGGCGATGGCAGTCAACGCGTCTGCCATTCTAGCCTCTAGCGAACTTCGCCTTTCTTCCTGGGCTTGCATGATGTTCGATATAGTCTCTAAAGCCTCAGCCATTCGCTCCTCTGCGGCTATTCTCCGCTCCTCTAATTCCAGTGCCCATTTAGGCGGCTGCGTTGCGGGTTCCATGTCATCATCTGTTCGATAATTATCATATTATTGTGTGGGAATATATTACAGGTTAACTCGGTTTGAAAAGATTCGCTACAAGTTTATTTCCCTGATTTTTAAAAATAATAATCGGAACACAATATCAACTAATTATTATCGTTACTATAACTCCTAAGAAAATGGTACGTGCAATAGTTTTACAATTTCTGTTGTAATATATATGCGACGTAAGTGTTTTATGCATAAAAATCTATTACGTCATGATATGCATTTTTTTTGTGTAGGAAGGTGGCAAACGAGCTGACGGTTCACCTGATGTTAAGTGATAACCGTCGTCCATTGACATTTACGACACCGGTCTTCTGTCAGGTCCCACGGACGGGCTTGCCCATTCGTGCAACAGTGAAGTCTGTTGGGTGAACCTTAGGTTTTAAAATCGATTATCTAAATTTCGCCAATTTCAAATGTAGTTTGTAGCCGACTACACAAGGTATTTATCGTAAGAAATTGCTTTACCAGGCATATTGAAGAAATAGCTGATATTAGCATTGATAGGGCCACACAATGGTGTTCACTGTTGTACGAATCCTGCCCATTCGTAAGTACCACATCCTTCCGAGGTAAGTAACACAACCTCACAAAAGACCAGCGTAAGTAGAAGTGTTACACTTCTGCATTTCATCTGGTGAGTGAGGTAGCCGGACCAACTTTATTTAAAGGTGGCAACGCTTCTGCTACCCTATGGTGTTGCAAATGTCCATGGGCGGCAGTTATCACTTAAAATCAGGTGAACCGCCAGCTCTTTTGCCACTTTGTCACATAAAAAAATAGCATTGGTATAACTTGAATATTATTCATTATGGAATTCAGTTCATTATAGAACCAATCAACATGTAAAAACGATGATGGGATCAACTTGTGTCACTGCACTCAGTGAGCAGCTGTTGATTTGTCAATACCATGGTAATTGCAATAATAAAATACCTAACTAATTTTGAACATATTATTTAAAAATATTTATATATTAGATACAATTGAAAATTTGTCTTTGACATCAATATTCCTCTATCTAAAGGTTTTCTGGTAGTTTTTCAGGGAAGACACTGTTTGACGTATGAATATTTTTTATATATTAATATTTTATTTGTACCAACAAACACATAAACCATTAGAACCTCACTTACTAGATAATCTATAACCAAAGCATAGGTCACATTGGTAGTGTTATAAGGCAAACAATACAAGTTTTCAAACTTGATAAGTTTCCAGTAATTATTCCAATTCCAGCCAAAAGATATGATTTTAATTATTTGTCATAAGGATTTAAGACATTTAGGTTTTAATCTTAATTAAGTTACAAGAGCTACATGGACAAAGTCATGACCATAACCTAGTTTAAAGATCTCAAAAAGCACTTTTAATATCTACCTGTGTTTGTTTTTGACACGCTCAATGATCTTTTAACTTTTCTAGTAGGCTTAATTTGAGTGTCAACAACTGTTGGCTGCTCTGAATCAGAGTCCTCAGCCATAAAATCCTCCAATTGTTTAGAAGATGGCACGGCTGCTGCTACAGATCCTTTTCCACTCAATTCCAAAACTCTTACTTCCAAGTCATTAAGCGGTGCAAATCTATTTGTACCACCATCAGATTTAGATTTGAATCTTCTAGCATCAGCAGCTTTTCTCCTGCATTTGTGTCGCCATTCAAACCAATACTAAAAAAATATCCTAATTAAGAAAATGTATTGTTACATTTATTTAGATAAAGACTTTTTCTCAAATTAGCACATATTTACATTATGGTGAGAATAACAATTCACTTTTATATTTTAAATCTAAACTTGCATTGATACTAATGATTTAACTTACAGTATGGCAACTCATATATGTCTTAGTTTGTGTAAAATATTATGAATTATAGAAATTGTAAGAAAGGTTCTTTAACACCAAGTTAAGACATTAACTTTAAGTTTTAATTAACCCAAAAATATGCTATTGATAACAATCATTAAAAAAGTATTTTGTATTTTATTTTCTTACTTTCTTCCACCCATCAGGCGTCTTCAGAGCGCCAGCTTGCACTGCATTAAGTTTTTTAGCTAAATGTGCCCACTTCTGCCGAGTGGCCTGGTGCGACACCGGGGTGCCGGGAGGAAGGCCTTTGGACATGTCTTTATTTGCCTCTAAGAAATCCATTAAAATTTCTAGCTGCTGCCTCAGTATTCTCCTTGGAGGTGCCATCTAAAATGTATTTGTTTATGTTTAATTAAATTATCATCTATGATTTCTAGTTACACCATGCTTAAAAAAAATAATACTATAAAACAAATCAAGCAACTCACCGACCCGACAGAACTAAATATATTTATTTTTTATCCTAAAGTACTTATATAAAATTAAAAACAAACATTAATACAAATCCCGCGCTATTAACTTGACACAAGCAATTTCTTTCATAAAAAGAAATTGTGAAAAGGATATGTAATGGCGACAACCTCTCTGACGTTTCGTTATATAAACATTGTTTATCTGTATATCTACTAGCGAATTGTCGACAATTACCACATGACGTCTCTAATGGCGCTGCAAGTACTGAGATTGTGCATGTTTCGGAATATTAACGGTAGATGGCAATATTTATAACGTGGGTTATAAAAAATTAAGTTCTCGCATCCACACAGAGGGGAAATTCATACAGTAAAAATGTTTTAATTTAAATGAGAAACATGAAAAAAATATAAATATTGGTCGTAGACCTTTTAATATATTTGAAAAAAAAAATCTCGAATTATTGCATATGTTTATAAAAAAACGGTACTTACTTATTAACGCCACCGCAGTAGAATGAGTTGCGGCCATACGCCAATAGAGTGCAATCTTGTTGTTCGCACGTGCACGCAGTTATTTTAAACGATAGAGAAAAATCACTAATGAATTTATCAACAAGCAGAATTCGGCGGTCGCTTATAGTTTTCGAAAAAAGTAAATAATGAAATAGTATGATTTTTACTATAGAAATCCGCCATTTTTTGTTGTCAAAATGTCAATTCTGCTCGTATTTCTTGGTAGTCATAAAAAAAACCCTAACCACGAAGGTTAAGGATGAACCTTCTAACCTAATCTATCCGAGTCGGATTCGCTCTGTGTCGGTTCTGTGACTCAATTCTACTGCGGTGGCGTTAATACGTAAGTACCATAAAACTCTTTATAAAATTAAATATATAAGCTCCTGTTAGGAAATTATTCAAAGTAACGAATTAAAAAATATCGCTGCTCGTCCATCTGCCTTTATGCGTCTGTAACATATTACAGAGACATCTATTGAAATCTTCTATAATTTTATTTATCAAGTTTTTAGTCTGGTACTGTACTACAAAATCAATATTCCATAAATTTCCATGTAAATATAAATAAAACTGGATTTCCCTAAACACGTTTTACATTGACTACATTAATAACTACGAGTTCCAATATATTTTAAATTGTAATTAGCCGTAAACGGTCTATCTCGCTGAACGTACGGCTGTCAATCAAGCGTTCGGCTCGCCTTTAATCCTAAGTAATTAGTTTAGATACAAATAAATAACAATATCAAAATACCACTTAGAAAAAGCTCCATGTACAAGGAGCACTTATGTGAATAGGACTAAACAAAACTGAAAAAAATAAGTATGTTTAATAAAATAAAATCAATCGTCATAATAATATAAAAATGAACTTTTTTGTAACTAAACATTTATATCAAAATATAAATAAAAGCATAGAGTTTAACTATACCAGTCAAAATAATATATTGCTTAAACACCGAGCAGTATTGATGTAATAGAAAAACATATGGGAAATGGACAAAAAATTCAAACAAGTTCTAAAAGAAATAATTACTGAATACTATTTTAAAGTTAATGAAATATATATTATACAAATGTACCATTTAAAACTTAATGATATTTTAAGACATAAAAACTGAATCGATATTTAAGTATAATAAATTTTATGTTTTTCTGTAGCTACTGATTTTAATTAGGTATAAATGTAAGGTATATACGTGTAACAATCCTTTTGTAGATTATTTTTTGATAACTTTTCCATTATCATCATTACAACAGCTATGGTCGTTAAATCATTTATTAAAGTGTTATTTTTTTCGTTTCTTTCATCGCCTAGGACAAAGTTCGTGAAAAATAAAAATTGAAATAGGTATTAACAATTTTATTTGTGGCGGTTACGGTCTTGCAGCCCTGGTTTTCATCGTTGGCCTCTTAACGCGCCAATGAATCCACGCGAATTATTCACAACTTGACACAAATGAGACCACTCACAAATAACCTTACAAATTTTGGGAAAATGTGAAATGGTTGTTAAAGTTATTAGATTTAAGAGTGTAGGTGATGTTAAATTGAATGCATGATCTCGATCGCAGCGCTATCTGGATTTTCCTTCAATAGTGGAGTTGCTCCTAACTTTTACTTCGTACCTTACTATTACAATTCTGCCGAGTTGCTAGTCCGACTGTACTAATTTTTTTAAAAGTTTTTTATAGTGCTAATCTCTACACTTCCACATGTTTTAACGACTGTACTAAATTAGAGGCACGCGGAGACTACCTACACACTGACACTGACCTATCATGGTTCTCTACATTTTTTTACCCATTACAATTTGTAAAAGTCACGATTGCGCGTAAAATTAAATTACAGCACCGGTGTGTTGTGGCCTTGCACAGAATTGTATGATTATATAGTCATGATTTATACAACCAGATATTAAAAGAACAAATTGTGCTGATAACCAGATATTGTAGAATTAAAAATGTTATATAGATGAATGTGATAAGATAATGTCATCTTCAAACGTTTCTCTCAACAACAGCTAAAACTGTAAATTCTTACACAAAGAAGTTTAATCCATAATTTAGGCCCACGCAACAGTGTTCACTTTTGCATGAATGGTCCGGTCCGTCGAGGGTAAATACCACGACATCGACAGAAGACCGGCGTAAATAAGAAGTGTTACACTTCTCCGTTTCGTCTGGTGAGTGAGGTAGCCGGGACCGACTTTATTTAAAGGTGGCAACGCATTTGTAACCCTACGGCTGTTTAAAATGTAGATGGGCGGCGGTTATGACTTAACATCTGGTGAACCGCCAGCTCTTTTGCCACTTTGTCACATAAAAAAAACCATTTCTCAGTTTAACTTTGTATTCATAAATAAATTATACAGTGGCACGCAAATTCAAATGTTATGTACGAGTAAAACCCCGCGATGATACTGCATAGTAGGTAATTGCAGCTTTTTGCAATTGACAGAGTTCTTATAAGAAGTTACAAAATTATTTTATTCTAGCCGTAAGATAAATGAGTTTGAATCTTTAACAGTATTTTAAGTGTCATTTGAGTTGTTTTTTAATAATCACATGTAACAGGCCAGCTTACACGGTACTTCAGAATTTGTAGGAATAAAAAGGGCATTTTTGCTTAACGGATATTGTGGTTCCGTATATTTTACATTTTGCTCTAACAAACGTTGGGAACATAACACCGTTCATTCTTTGAGGAAATTGTAACAAACCACTTCCTCGCATGTCTCAAAAATCGGTACGGTTTTTGATAAATAGAAAAAACAAAGTAATACCGGAAGTACTTTTGTAATATTGTTATTTATAAATTATCAATATGTCTGTCAAAGAAACTAATTTCCATCGCATCACTCAAAAGTATTTTCCATTCCTCTCACCAAATTTTTTATCTGTCTAATGATAAAGATTTAATATACAGACGACACTATCTACCTACTCGTATTACATCTAAAGCTTAATTGTATAAAGTTTTTACTTCCTAGAATTAAAATAGTGTCAAATTTTGTTTTAGCAAAAACAAATCTAAACTATTGTTTAAGCGAAATACTGTGGTCACAATAATTACGCAGTACGCGGTTTCATCGGTACTTTAGCCCTAATAAGTCGAACCTGTGCAAAGCAATTATAACTCCAATACTTGGCTCGCACAGAAAAATCCGAAGAATTATTGAATAATCGATAGGAGCGTAAAACTTCAACGGCCCGTATCGTGCCGCGATCGCTGATTTCACGGGGAAGTAAAACCGTCGGTAGACTACAAGAGCCGGAAGATTCGGGCGAGCGGGCGCGTTCGAAATTAACGGGCGTTCGGGGAGAAGCGGGCAAAAGCGAGCCGGGCGGAGCATTGCCGCGCGTCGCCACCGCCGCTTCGCTCGTCAGTCTACCGGAGCCACCGCACTGCGACGGTGCACAACGCGCTCCCGACGCCACCGCTCCCCCGACACAGGCCCATCACGCACATTTCGTGATAACGTCCCCGACGAAGAAGTGTTGTTCTTGTGTGCCAGTGCGACCCTAACCGTTGTGCGTTCCCTCGGAGGCCGAAAGCTCCCACGTCCCGCGCTTATTGACGCCGGGTCGGATTCTTTTCCACGTACAGGTAAGAAAACGCATCCGTCTGATGCGTAATGAAATTTCTGTGGAAAAATTGCATGTGTCTCAATAAGTTCGGTGTTATTTTTTGCTTGAAGTGCATTTTTTTTTTCATTCTATTCTCAAACGATTCAAAGGAATCGGATTAAACCTGTCGGCACTTGGAATTCGGTTGTTCGGAATTTCTTGTTTTTTTAAGTTTCGTTTAACTGACATTATTTATATTTTGTCTACAATCTCCTTTCTTTTTCATTATATATTAAAACAAGATCTATGTACCATTAACATTTTTTTGTTATAAAAATGTCGTGACAGACGTAATAAAAACAGTGTTACATTAGCGTACTTAGAAAAGGACCTCCTAACACGTTTCTTATAAACCGGTTCGCTCGATACACGTTGTTTCGCCGCCAAGACTTATGCAATGGGCAAATGGATCTTCAACTACAAACCCACAGAGGAGTTCGAGTACCTCCGTCTTTAATTGTTCTTGGTAAGGAAAAAACATGGAAGGGTAAAAAAAATTAGTGTAGCTTCGGCAACCATGTTGGAAAAGATACGAAACCGATTTTTTTTTGTACACGACCAGTTAATATCAAGTAGTACTCTAGTGTAGTAAGTACTAACGAACACTCAATAACAGTTCAAATATGATGAATGTGATGATTGTCAGTGGATATTGTATGTTCGAGAGATTCGAGATTCTAAAACTTGGTAATTGCATAATAGGATTTTTTACAGACGCAATATAAACTGGTGCTAACTGCAACTAGTATGGAGTCATCGTAAACAACTAAAATGACAATGCAACGTTATGTGCAGTTTATAAATAAACCATCAGAAACATGTTATGCATCGGACGTAACTGTCGCCTTTGTTACCAACAATATTCGATGTCTACACGAATTCTTGTTGAAGCATCGGCTTCGCAAAAACACTAATAATTAAGGCAGTGAGCCGCAACTGCGGATAATCGCGTGGCATAATTTTATTACAAATTGATATTACAAGAACGTTGAAAAAAAAATTGAAAAACCAAGTTGATTGCAAGATCGCATGAAAAAGTTCCGCGGAATTACTAAAGACGAATTTGGGTTTTTTATCAGTCTTCTGAGAAGAAAGACATTAATGCTTCCTGTTTTTCTAGCGTAGGAAACTAATGTAACAAAAAAGGTCAGACGACTATGATATCATAAAATTAATTAATAACCAATATTGGTGTTATTAAATAGTATTCTGGAACTTTTGCAAACACGAAATTGAAAGTATCAGTTGTTACCTTAGCTTAATGCTATTAATAAGGCTCAGTGCCTTATGAGGTTTGATTCGTCTTTCGGAGTATAATTTGAATGTTTGTGAACTTTCCCCAGCGCAACGACCACTTGGCGTCGGCATATCGATCAGCCAGCGGACCGGCGACGTTACGGAATTAGGCGCATTGTCCATTAATCACAAAACAAACAGCCCCATACGCTGAGCATTTTGAAATGCTCACGCGACCGTTTCGAATGGTAAAAACGGGCCTTATAAATTCCAGCTGTCATTTAAATACGATGAATATAATAAAGCGAGAAGCAGGAAATATCGAATAAGAATAAAAAAAAACTGTTTAAATTAAACGTTTTCAACCGTCAACATCTTGTGTGCAAAAATGATAAGATAAAAAACTCTATAGTAGCGAATCTCTTATCGTAACTTGACAGCTACTTTATGTGGAGTGTATACGTTAGGTTATAATATACAAATACGTTTGCCGTCGCGACAGACGAATCCAGAATGTCGGGACGCAACGGTCACGCAACTAGTTGCTCATTTCCGATCCAACGAGTTGCCAATATACGGATGGTACTCTGCATCGATTTCTACCGCCCAAAGATCAATGAACTCCCAAAAACACCGGCTGATTATTATTAGTCGGCACAGATTCAACCCGGGCAAGGCGCTTGGCAACGGAGTCATTGTTTTCAAGTTTGATCTTTCGCACTGTGTCCCCGGCAAAATTAAATCGCGTATAAAACCGTATTAGCCTCGCGCTCGGCTGGCCTACTTAGTCCGGGGCAATGCGGCGGCATTTCGCGATGGAATAAGGAGGCGTGATGTCGGCCGGAAAATTGTGGCAATTCCAGAGAGGGGACCTCCCTGGAACATAATCAGCTAAATAGCAAGGCGTAGGAAATATGCCATTGCCGAAATGGAGTGAGCCACACTTCGATAGAAAAATATTTCACGTTTTGTGACAAGTACGCACATCGTTTCACGTTAAATCAATTATAGTAACTTTTAACGTTTGTTTTCAAATATTTTCCCAACCACAGACTTGTTTTATGGTTTAAAATATTAGTAAAAAGAACACGTCAAGTACCTTCTTGTTTGCTTGTTTCAGCGTACAAAGTAATAAAAGTTGCATTTCATTTGCATTAATTGAGTGCTACTCCAGTAATGTGTGTTATGTAAATGGTATCGTTGTGACATCATCGGCCATCGGCGGACGGTCGTTGGGGCAAATGTTAGTTTTGCAATTTCAACGTAACGGGGTCGACTCCCTTGAGCCGACACAATTTGGGGAAAGCTTTTCGTAATATAGATGTTCCAAACATTAGCCACGAGGGTGTCATTTATAAGTGTTCTATAGAGAAAATTCGTCCATAATATTTCGTCTGTTGAACGGCGTGAATTTGTACGTATATGAAAAATATAATCACAATTTCATAATTGAAAAGATTTGTAATTTAAATTAGCCAGAAATAAATTATCGACTCTACATTCATCTTGGCATTGGTTCAGAGCCGTAACAAATATAAAAACAATTGGATCGGAAAAGATCAGAGAGCTTACTAGCTTCCACTCGAGGCTTCCAGTTTAAAGGTGAATTGCAAGCGGCTGTGAAGGGTTAAGTCTACAGTTAAGGCGAAGGTCTCCCACTGGAGGCTTCCAGTTTAAAGGCGAATTGCAAGCGGTTGCACGGCGTGTGAAGGGTCAAGTCTACAGTTAAGGCGAAGGTCTTCTGGTGGAGGAGGTTGGCAAGGGGCTGAACGGAGGGCGATCCCCGTATTCGTATGCGGGCCGGTGGCGCGGAGTGGCGATCGATACGCGCCCGCGCGACGACGCCGCCCCGCGAGCGCTCTGCCGGCGAACACACGCCCGCGGGAAACGTATCGGATCCCGTTCCACGGTGCCGACTCGGAGGCAACGGCGCAAATGTTATCTTTGCCGGACGCCTCGGCTGCGGTGGACCCGTGGCGGTTTCATTGAGCGGATATTGCACCGCGGCGAAATGGCAAACGGAAGGATAACCTTATTAAACCGTTTTATTCGTTGCGAAACTGTTGCGTGTGGGTGTAAATTCTCAAAATGAATGGAGCCTCAAAATACCAAAGTCAAGGTTTAGAATCGAGGCAGAACAAAAAGTTATAGGATATTAATCTTGAGGTAGGTTAGTGACTTAAAATGATTAAAATTATCACCTAGAACGGGTAATACAGTTAAAATTATTACCTAGAAAGGGACACGAAACACCGTGTTGGTATTCGCATGGATGCGTAAATACGGAGTTTAGAAGACAAGGCATCAGTCGCTATCTAATCTACTATCGGTAATTGCCTGCTTTACAATTTGTAACTACAGTTAACTATGACATTATCCTGTAGCGAGTAAAACGAAGGGTATTATTTTCCGTCCATCAAACATCATTCCAACTGGATAATTCTCTCGGAAACCAATAGAAATTAATCGCAGCTTTCGAATGTAAGCAGCTTAATGCCTTACCTCTACTCTTAGTTTAATTGTCTATTAAGTGGTACAGAAAAGTTTAACACGTTGGTTCTATTTTCGAATTAATGTTCGCAATGGAATCGCAGTTGCTTATATCAAAAATGTAAACGATGACATCATAATCGACGACGCAGGGGGCAAAAAAAAGCGTTGACAGGCAAAGCAGCGGCCAGTGACCGCGTAGCCGTGATCTTGAAGAAACCAACGTGCTCTCGTCCATAGTTGGATAAACCGGCGTTTTTTCTACTGCGTACTAGTTATAACAACGTAATGAGCCACTGAACCAAATTTTGAGAATTTGGTAGGTGACTGGCCTTTGTAGTTTCTTTTTCTAGTACCTGTCTTAAAAACAAGCGTTATAACCGAGGTCTAAACCCCGCTTGTAATGATATAAATTTTTTATTTTATTCACAGAACAGAAATTTACATCAATAAATGTACACGCGATGTTAACAAGACAGTGAAGGTGCAATAAATGGGAATGTCTCTTCACTATTCGTTCGATACATTTTTTTTGGTACAAAATTTGGTTTTATGTACAAAAATAATTTTGTCACATATTCTTATGGGAACCAGTCCTACCGCCGCTCACGTTTGTTACTAAAAAGTTAGTTTAAAAGTGGATTAACGTCGTGAAAGCTTGTATTGATTCAATATAGGTCGCTGATGTCCATCGCCTGCCCATGTTGGAAATGAAATGCACTAACGGCGGCTAATAGCTTAATGCACTTCCAGCGGTTGTTTGTCGGACACTGGGGGGAGTCAATCACGGGGGGAACTGTTGCAAATATACACTGACACGGGGATCTCGTGACACACAGACACATACATATATTCACCCTGTATTTATACACCGCTTCGGCTACTGATAATGGTCCTTGGGAATGTTATGAATTATTACGTATACACGGTAATTTTCATATTTTAAAGGTTGCTTGAAACTACATAGAAGCTCACTCCATTCAAGTTTGAAAGTAAACTAAGTGTTATTTTTTGAACCCGCCGCTCAAAACGTATTCGCGCATAATCATCATATGAACTTTATTTTTATTGCACATGCCTGCGACTTGAGTGTATCAAAAGCAAATACTACTTTACTTACTTACTTACCTCTATATAGTGCTTTTACATTTAATAGAGGTAATGTTTAAACCAGGTTATGATGACTTTATGTCCGCGTACATCTAGTAATTGTATTAAAATTGTGACTTAACTATAATTTATTAAAATTGAGTAATAGAAAATTATATTACTCAATCTACCGAAACCTGCATGATCAGAAAAAAACAATTTTCAACATACATATCAAAAACGGTACGGTTCTTGGATTTTTCTTGGAAGTAGGTTAATGTCACTTCAGTATTGATCGATGGCATCGGACAATCGGACATAAACGCTCTCTTGCGTAGGTACCTGGATGACGCTCTATACATAATAGAGAGTTTTTTCGTGAACACGGCCAATGCTCCCCAATTCGGAAGACCCTTGCCTGAACAATGCCTAGAGCGAGGGGAACAAGATGCAGCTGCTCATTTCCATTGAGATGACATTTTTTGCTGCAGATAGAATAGAACTCGCAGGAATGCAAAAATAGCCCGATGAATGAACGTTATTGATTTTTACAAAAGGTGTAAGTTGGTTTTGGTATTAACTTACGATCGCCCCAAAGTAAAGCTTTGATAGAAAGCATTTGCACCGTAAGTTACAATAGCGGAAAGGTATTTTGTTTAGATCGGCAATCTTTAAAATATTCTACAATTAATTGAATTTAAATAAAAACGAATGAATTTCAGACATTTCAATTACTTTTTTATAACGCACTAAATCGTTTTTCATTGCATTTGGACAGATATGGAATGTCCAACGTAGATTTGAAAGTTAAACCGGACCATTTCTCCGCGACTGCGATGCGGGCGCACTCAATGCGTGACGCAACGAGAAAAGCGGGGCGGTTTTCATGGTTGGCAACTTTTTCTACTACTCCGACTAGATACAGGTGACATCTTGCCGGCCGACGGGCAACACTGAGTTTCTATCGCATGAATACTGGTAATGCTCCACTGTCCCGAAAGGCGACGCCTTCCGAACATGGTGGCGTTTAACAAATCGTGGTGGGGAAACGCCTCGTCTAAATGGGACCAACGTTGTGGGGCAGCGGCGTTGAAACGTGATGTTATTCAAATCGAAACTGTTTCCGTGAATTGCGGCTCGGTGTGAGAGGCAGCGTAGAGTTCATGGCCACTGGAACAATCGATTGACGGGAATTCGCGACCGGCTGAGCATGTCCCGAGCGCGCCGCTCCAATGAAACATTTCGCATGGAGAAATATATTTGCAATTTTTCAATCCTCATCGATAAATTAAAAAAAAAGATTTTAGCCATATTAAATTCAGTTTACAATTCTTCTAACATAAAATCGGGAACATCATTTATTAATAAAAAATATAATTATTATCTATTAATAAAAATTAAATTATAAGTTTTACTTTATTCCTTTCGTAAATGTACGTGTTATTAAACGCCTACCAGTTTTTCAACGCTAGCCAATTTTAAGGGCTGATATTTTAAAGCGACGAAGCTTAAAGCTGAAACAATGCTCACTGTATGCAAAACAAAAGAACGCCGCGCCGCTTCTTCAGTCAAGGTTAGGAAAGTTGCGAACCTCGAGACGATCATAAAAATTTTACACGGAGTGAGACGCCAAATGTTGATGTTAATGCGGCTGCACGATGCAGTATCATTAATAATGGATTTTTTCGTATTGCATTTCGCTGAGCGACAGCAAGACGTCTCGACCACCGCTGTCCGATTCAGTGAAATGGAAATCGCTCGTAGCTCGTAGAAAACTCTCATTCAAGCGCTAATGCGGCCTGATTGGGGGGTTATTAAGCTGTCGCGGCCGCACGTTACTAAGCTCGGTTAAATTAATTACTGGCGTCGAATCAACAAGCGGTTATCGCGGTCGATGCGAGGAAATTAAACACGCGTGCTCGCTCCGCTCGGAAAGCATTTTTCTTGCGGTGAGTGGGCGTGTAAGCTGGAAATGACAAACGGAAATCAGGTATTATAGTCACTGCTTTACAATGTATTTTCTCACAATTCTCGCATTCTGAGAATGTACATTGCATCTAATAGTTGTAGATGGAGTATTACTTGCAGAATACGTTCCAATTTTATTCATATTGCAATGTCGGATATGGTATTTTAAAAATAAAAGTAGATTAACTGTTGCGTGAACTGAATATTATCCTGAAGTTCCTGTACTTCAGGATAATATTATCCTGTACGGTAAGAGCGTTTTACAAACATGAATTTCACGTGGACAAACACCCAAATCCAATACAATTATCTGTGGGTCACACTATAAACAGTTTTCCTGTGTGGGAATGGAACCCATGCCCCCAGGCGCCGAAGCCAACACCTTGACAACTGCGCAATGAAATGACTTCATGGTATATGCTTAATATACTCAATCTTTAAGACATGTTTATTAGACAGTATTCAATCTATACTATAAATAAAAATATCTTCTTCGGCGCAGGTGTTACCGGCGGTCACCTGGGCTACTCAATTTGGAAGTGTTACGCTGTACCTGTTGACAGGGCGATTTTTAGGAAGGCACAGGCATGGCGCGTGTCCAACCACGTGTTCATAGATGACTGGCCGGCCGTTGTTTTCGTCGTGCAATTGAGCGTTTAACGACGACAGGAAGTGTCAACAGGTGTGGAAGACTTACGAATTAATTTCTAAGTAACGCAGTATTGTTCGGTGTTACGTCACTTCGGGGTATTCCAAATTCGAATGAACTCAACGAAGCTCGACAACGCCGGTCGACAATAGAGCCCGCAGCCTGTAGCCGTCCACTCTCACCGGCTCATAATTTAATATCCGCCCCGAAACTAATCCCATTTCCCCAACGACGGTCTTGGTCTTGGTCACGCCGGCCCGTGATCAAACGCCGCCAACAATAGGCCCGCGTGGCGTCGCACACGAGCGTCGCACGTAGCGCGCCCTAAATAAGTAGAGAGCAGCTTTCGTTGGCGTAAAAGGTGTTCATCGGATTCCGGTGCGAGCCGAGATATATAGCTTACCGGGAGATCCGTTAGAAAAGTGTGAATTAATTGCCGGCCGCTCCATCGAAGATTTATTCTAGACGGCGGCTACGATTCTGCGACACTGGTGATGTACGATTCATTTTAAGATTCATAACTTTAAAATGGCGTCGGTTTCCATAGAAAGTTTGGATGGTATGTTCATTTATGAAGACACCAAAATAAAACATATAAAAACATATAAAATAATATTAATAGAAATTGCTGTGAAAAGTTAAATAGGAATTTTAATGTTGCAAAATATGTTTGAATTCTAACGAACAATTGAGAAAATTTATAAAGTTTAAACTTTTAAAAGCATTACTTAAGATTATCTATTACAAGCACGTCTCTAAATAGATCTGCTTTGTAGAGAATATAGAGATGTTAGGATAACAGGCATTTGCGGGAGGCAACACATGATAGCTCAAGGACAGTTGCGCCATTCCGGGACAAGGTTGGCGTGAAGGTCTTGCCCGGACGCAGCTCGTGCCCTTGTACTTTACCGATCCTACCACAGAAATCTACAATAAGCATAAGATTTTACGGCACAATCTTTGAATGTCAATTCTGCAAAATTGCGTTCACCAAATGTCCTCGATGTTATGAATATTTAGAAATTATAGAACCACTGCGCATATCTTATAATGATTTGATTATAAAAACGACATAAAAATTTATTGGTCACAATATAGCGTTGAGATTAAATTAGAAGGCTGACCCACTGGTCTATTAAACGGACACGACAAATTGTCACTAGTATTTCTGTCCCAAAGTTTGTCAATAGATCCAAATGAAAATTCCGGAAGCCTGTACAATTCATGGCGTTACATTTCCGGCGTCCCTTTACGAGGCCGACCGTTCACTAACGGTTTCATATCGCATCGAATTACGAACCTGCTAATAACGCACTGCTAAAGTGCTAAATACTTTGGACAACAAAATAACTATGGCGTGAAGTTAATTAGACTTTATACCTAGTCTTAGACAACTTATGCTATGTATATCATAACGCTGGTTAACGATGTTGTAAAATCCATAAAAATACACAGTTATTGTATACTCTTTTAAAGATCGTGTTATAGGTTAATAGGTATAGTTAATAGAATTCGTTGAGTGTATCTTGTTAAAGTCAACCGCGCTGGGTGTACAACTTCATTAGCCGAAACAATAGTGCAACACTAAACGCTGCGCAAACAACGCGAGAACCATCGCACTTTTCACATTGCACAAAGGCATATAACTGACGAGGTATTGAAGCGGACAATGCGTCGGTAACGGGACGAGGCACTAATTGTGAACCCAACACCGTACAGTACTTTCGATGAACTGTGGTGCGTAAATATATTATTTCTTAGCTAAATAGCCCGCAAAGAAACGACCTGAAATAACTGATCTTCAAGAGTCAAGAGTCTGGGAGAACGGGATTCAATGCAATGTAAAGATCAGAATAAGTACCTAAATCAGCATTTATTTAAAGAAAGTGGTTCAAGTTTCTAAAAGCTGATAGCGTGACATTGTTCATTAAGGCCCATTTACACGGTGCCAGTTTCTTGCCTGTTGTATACAATTAAATTGAAGCAATAAATGAGTTGCATGGTCTAAACAACACATAACATTCTTGACTGTTGAACAAGACTTGCTTCAAGTTTTGTTTCAAAACTTTCCTTGGTGTAAACAGTACACACAATAATTTCTTAAGCAATTCTTGTATTCAATTGCATTCTCTCTTCCTTTGCAAACATGAGTGCGATGAGTGAGGGTGTTTAATCGTTGCTGTTCTTTTGAGGCAAAAAATATTGAGAAAAGGTCGTAAAAAATTGGACGAGAAAATGAATAATAATATATGGATAATAATAAATAAATCTCAATGAAATATATTAAATCTGCATAATTTAACTTGAACACTTATCTTTGACACATTTTTTTAAAAATAAACAGCCCTTTTCAGAACGTTCAACACTTGAATGAAATATTTGTCAACGCAAATACGTGCAATACTTGAAGCAACACGCCAATAAATTGTACACGCACGTACAATCATGTGTTTAGACAAGTCAAAACTTGAAAGCAATAATCGCCTAAACATAATTGCATTGGTGTAAACAAAAGACATTTGCAATTATTTCTTGTCAAGACTTGCATACAATAATCGCATTCAATTTTTTTTACTATATCTGCGTGTAAACTGTTGCTTACAATTCTTGATGGTCAATTATTGCGCGCAATTTATTGCATTCAATTATTGCTCTTTTAAGTACAAGAAAATAGCATCGTGTAAATGGGCCTTTAGGGTTACGTTCTGACTAGTCACGACCTTTAGTATTAGGGAAACTAATAGGAGAAATCTTATATATAAAAATGGATTGCTGTTCGTTAGTCTCACTAAAACGCGAGAACGGCTAGACCGATTTGGTTACTTTTGGTTTTCAAATATTCGTGGCAGTCAAGGGAAGGTTTAAACGATGAGAAATTATGGAAAAATTGCATGGAAAACCGAAATAGCAACGATTTTATTTTCCCATACAAATTGTACCTGTCAACCTGTCAACTATATCTATGTAACCTGTCAAAAACTTTATGCGAGCGTTCCCATTCCTCTAGAAATAATTTATATGGCAAAGCAACGTTTGCCGAGTCAACTAGTAAGTAATAAAGACTTAGTATTGAAAAAAAAGTCAATACACTAAGTCGTCATTATATGTGAGGTAACTGTACACTCTACAAACAACGACAACAGGAAAGAGACGGGACTTTTCCTAACTTAAAAACATACATTAACTTGCTATCTCAGTAACGAGAAGGCGGAGGCATCTCATTATCTGAAGTGTCAAGATGATATATTGCAATGCGATGGCGTCGACAGCCCTAGATTTAGGATTCAACCTGCGAAGCTTCAGACTTTACTTTAATCCGCCGTTTACCTAATGATCTTTACCCTAAGCTGTTGATACAAGATGGTATGCATATTCGTAGTTTTGCTATTCGTCACCGATGTGCAAGAGGTAGCGAACATCCTTATTAAATAAATATTATAAATGCGAAAGTTTGTATGTATGGGTGGATGCTTGTTACTCTTTCACGCAAATACTACTGAATGGATTTTAATGAAATTTTACAATAATATAGCTTATACATCAGAATAAGACATAGACTATAATTTATATACATATTTTTATTCATATCTGTCTTTCTGTCTGAATGTTACGCCTTCAGCCTATTCTACGCCGACGTAGTCGCGGGTAGCAGCTAGTTTTATATAAATCAGCAGTTATAATTCACAAGACTATTTTATTCGAACTGTCTCTCTTTCGACCTATACCAATAACCTGACGTTTCAAAATCCCTCATAGCAAGATTTACAACATCTCAGGTACGATTAGCAGTTGCCACATGACTTTCTGTTTTTTCAAACGTGACCACGACCATGTAAATTGCTACGCTATCACGATAGCATCAATGTTGCAACATTTAACGACATCAATCTGTATACTGGTAAGAATTACCAAGCCATTCAGCAAACATGAGGCAATCATTTAGCTTGATAAAAATAAACATGGTAAAAAGTATACGAGAGGGGATTGCGCTAGTGGTCTTCAACCGACGTCGAGCGGCTTCTAATAAAGTCTAACGGGACACGATTTCGCATGATAAAAAAGCCAGCCAGTCTTCCTCGGTGAATATATATGACCTAATAGCAGTTGATGTGGATCTGGTGAACGCAGTCCTTACGAGAGCAAATTAATAATGTCGCGCGCCTGTGTAACTCACGGCGAACGTGCCCAGAGTTGGACATGAGTGCGCCGGTCGGTATTTCTTGTCACGAATTACGAACACGTCACGTACGATTTTATATCTGTAAGCAAATACGCTATGAATACATCACGGTAATTGCACCAGTAATTGTTGTATCACATAAAACCGTTGCGTTTATTTTCAAGTCCGCCTTTTATGTGGATCGATTCAAACTTGTAAGCTGCCCTTAAAGAATTCTTAGAATAGATTATTTATACATGTAGTGACACACCTTCAAGAAAACAGGAAAGGGTCTTTGTTGTGGGAGTAAAGGTGACGTCAGCGCGAAACACTCAGGTCCTTGAGGAGAATTATGTAAACGACTTACAATAGCTTTAAAGTCAATGTCAATATTTAGACGCTTCAAGTGAATATTAAAGTTTAATCAGAATATTTATGAATAGGGTTAGTACTACAGTTAAATAGATACAATTTTGTTCACGTATGACAATGCTTGCCACGAAATATTAAAAAGTTGTATAAACACATGATTTTCTATGAATAAACTATCATCAAGAAAATAATGTTTACGTATTACTGTAGAGTCTGGGGCGAAATTATTGGCAAAAGCGTACAAAGGAACGGCAGAGCGCACGGGAGAAGCGTAAACGAGGAAAACAAAGCTCAAGAAACTGTAGCATTTGCGCTTGTCAGGGAATTTCGGAAAGAAAACGCGCAGACATTACGAGGCGGCCGCGTAGAGCACGTAGCGCGGTAAGTAGTCTGCGAAAGGAAAAGAGTCCGCCACGTCAGGTGAATGCGCTCCATACGACGTCTTCAGCTGAGAAGCTTTGAACAGGCACTAGACTTCCGCACCCGGTTGCCATACATTCAACGCACTTTTGGGAACAAAGCACTCTCCGCGCTAACCAACTAGTAGCGTGAACCAAACGAGGCTCCATGTCGAAGTATCAATTTATTTATAGCGAGTGGTGCTATATGACGAAGCTAAACTACGATTATTGTTAAAAATAATTTCGCTGCGCTTTCATTAATGGATTCATCATATCGGCAGTATTGCCGTGCTCAAAATCATGTTTAGTCATTACTTAAAATTCTATTCACTATTTATTCCACTAAACAACACAACAACTTTAAATGTGTTCACTTCAAATGTAAGCTAATGGATTTAAATATTCTACGAAAAATAGAGAAATTGCAACTTTGTGGCTATAAATAACAAACAACGATTCGCATGAGGATACACGTTCTCAACGACGCGTCTGTTTGAAGGTATAAAAATGATTTATTATTAGAGTCAGCGCTCATAAAACTACTCCACTTGAAGTCAGAAAGGTCGGGCGTACACATTCCGTCGCCTATTGTAATAAAACTGATACTTTACTGTTACGGGCGGTAATAACGTAACTGGTTATTATTACGTCAAACCTCTGCAAGACTACAAGGCACATTTCACGTATATTTCAATTCGACTTAGTTCAGTTATCATCTAATTTTGGGACGAATCACACATCCCATTCATATAACATCGTTTACGGAATGTAAATACGTCTGAAGGAAAACTCGATACTCGAGAGCATAATTTCCTAATATCGAATAACGAAGGAGCCCAAGTGTGACTCCCATTAGGTCATGGTCCAACAGTCGTCGAGCTCTCGTTTCATTATAAGATAACCTACACATCTCTTATTTCAAGTCTAGGTTTTGCATAGGATCTCACGAAGAACTTGTCTATTCAACTTTAAAGACCAGAAAGGAGAGTTGTGACTGTCAAAAGCTAATTGTAATCTTGGAACCGAAACGGACCGAACCAATATGCCTAAACTAAAACGATCAGAACTAGTTTGTACCGAAATAATCGAATTGTTTGCTTTAGAACCAAATGACAGTTGAACTTTAGTGGGTAAGGGACGATCGTGCACTTTTAAAATTGGCGTATAAAGGTGTGATCAAAAATGCGTGACCATTGCAACATCGTAGATATAATAATCATGCAGGATATATTCATGAAAACTTAGGTTTTCGCACGCTGCATCCGGTAAGGGTCTATTATTATATTTGAAATTTCGAAATATTTATTAATCCCTTTTTAATTAATCGTTTAACCATATTTCTTTACATATTTCATTAATTAGCAAGGGTGAGTACGGGCATAGTGCCAATCCTTGACATAATTTTATCGAGCTCTGGTTTAAGATAGGCCTAAAAGCTCTCGTTACTTCGACAATGTACAGGTGCAATGCATATTAAATTTAATGAATAACAATAATCACGATCATTTGCTGCAAATGACCGACTCCATATTTAAAAAAAAACTTTTTTTTTAATTATTAATATAACAAAAATCCATATTTCTTTTGGTTTTAATCGATTATGATATTCCATTATTACGCAGTTTGGTTAGCTACGTAATAATGGAATATCGAATGAGCTTAACTACATGATTTATAAGAATAGGTAACATTTAGGAAAGTGCAAACATTCATAAGCGTCGCATTTTAGTATAGATAGGTTAGTAGACAACAACATGTCATTTTGCAAGCAGCCGTCCTGCCTTAATGATCCTCGTGTTGTAACGAGAGCCAGTAGGAACGTCTTTACGTGCCCTCCAAAGGACACGGATGCTCAAGTTAAACGCCACTAAAGCGGTCACATCTACACACCGGGGCAATTTAAAATTTTATTTGCATAACATTTTTATCACTTTCCTGTACTGTAGAAAACCATCGAAGTGATTCAGCAAGAGTTATTTATAGATCGGAAAAGGCGAACGAAATGCAATTGTTCGATCTGTATACATACTCGGACGATAAGAGAGCCGTTCAAGTTTGCGTTTGGCGACGACCGAGCGCTCGAATATGGGTCGCTCGCAATCACAATAAGCGTTTGTTTCGAGCGCTCGTGAATTCATAATAACAAGCTATTAATTCTTTTCCCTTGAAGTGGCTGATTTACCACAAATACGTTTATATATTGTTTATAAACTATCGATTCACAATCGCTATTGTTTCAAACCGTAAAAAGGTGTCCGCGCAATGCACTTTACTCGTATATCCTTTCCGCTCACTGCACACAAGGCAAAATCAAGAAATCATTTCAATGTTAATCGTGTTGAGCGATGAATATTCAATGCGGAGGCTTTGTTACTCCGCGAGAGCTTACTCTGATGCTGTTCAAGCACTTCAATTAAGACCACTTCAGACGTCAAGTTAAAGTGCGTTTTGAAGGATGTGTTGAATACGGCGACGGAAAACATAATGGCAATTAAATGTGTGAAGAGTCGTTTCGTGTTTGGGTACTAGTAAAATTTATGGGAATTTCGAAAATATACCATAATACACATCGAAGACACGAGAAAAAGATTTTGTGTTTTACGAAAATATTTGTAACTTCCAACTTGGCAAAACTTTCAGTTTGGTATTAAAGTTAATATGGCAAAATTGGTAGTATTTATTACAACTTCGTTGTATAGTTGGGTGATGATTATTCGTGTTATAACGCCCGTCTGAGGGGCAAGGCGACGGGTATGCGGAGAGAAGATGCGATGGTGACCGGTGAGTCACCGGCTTCGTACGTCGACCCGCCCTCGCGACACAGCGCCGTTATCGCGCCGACTGCACTCGAGAAAGCCTGCACTTTTTGTCGACGAGTTCCCGCGGAATTCTTATTGTGCGAGGCAGAGGAGGCGACCTCCGATCGGCTCCGTTCCCGAAAGCTCTTTGTGGCGCTTCGAAAGAAGATTTTTGTTTCTTCAGGTGTCTTACTACACAGGTTTAGACAAAACCACCAGCGACAATTTTGCCACCTCGGATACGCTAATTGAAAATTCCTTCGAGTTGATTACAAATTGAGTAATTGTTTGTTGTATTGTTGCCAATGAACATGGCGTTATATATTAAAGAATAGTTCGTTCAACGTTGCTTCTGTTTCTTGAATTGAAATACATACTTTCTCGCCTTTATTTCACAGAATCCCCTGTGCACACTGTAGAAAGCGTCGAATTTTGTGTTAGTTATTGTTTCAGGTCGGAACGAACTATATATTTGATTACAGTCATTTATTAATGACTAGCTGATACCCGCGACTACGTGTACATTCTCTATTATACAATATAATATGAGCAGAGGAAAAATTATTTTTTTTAATAAGGGCTAAGTGTCTAATAAATAACACTTGAATTAAATGAAATCTTTTTCTTGTAATTTTATTTAAATTACAAGAAAAAGACGTTACATCGGTTTTTCTATAATAGTTATAGTGACCTAAAAAGCCAATATTTGTACCAAGGAACGCGAAATTTAGCAATAATCCTTTCCAACATGATTAAACGCGGATGTCGCAAAACCGTAAGGTCAACTTTCATCAACTACAAATAAAATGATTCAAACTTTCAAAGGTCCCTATTGATTCATTCATCCCAATAAGGTTTGACTCATTAAACGACTGCGTAGTGACGTCATATTATAGTGAGCAACGTAGTAGTAGCAATCGTCGAGAATATTATGACCATTTGCTCCGAGTGAGTCATGATTAAACCTAAACTCTATTTAAATTGTCGAACACAGTTTTAAAATGTTACATACTTTTAAGTCATTAAAATTTAAAGTAATTTGAGCGGATATATTTAATCAGTTTGTATGAAAGTGTCGTTTGTATAAAATTGGTTCCTGTATTCTTAATAATTTTATAATAAGTCAAGAACACAGTAAGTGTTACGACAAAGATAATGCTCAGTCATTAAGAATTCAACCCACGCTTGTCTAACGATGTTTTGGCGCCATCATAAAGCGATGCCAACTGTGACCAGTGCTTTTTTCTTGATGCAAGTATTACAATTCCTGAAATTCGATTCGTAGGCGTAAACTGGAAGTTACGGTGGGGACTTAATTAGTTAGGAAATGCGCAACGTTATTTTGTTTGTTTGGAGAGTGAAGTTGCTCGGCTGTAATTAAAGCACAGTTTGGGAGCGCCACGTTGCCACTTTGCAGCCTAAGGCTCGGCTGTATAATATCTGCAAATTTAAAATTGTATTTCGTGCGTTAAAACTGCTATATTTTTAAAGTTCTTTTAACAAGAACTGGATTTTATAACAGTTTATCAATCTTAATAATAAAAATCTCAATTACAGATCTTTAGGAATGAATTCAATGGTACTAAAAGAAAAGGACTTAAGGGGGATAAGAATCTATCCGAATTAAATTTAAAATACTGAACTTTTCCAGAATATCAGTCCATGGTACTCGCTTGCTAGAAAGAGATTTGTATCATTAAAACAGCTGTTCGCTACAATCCGATTATTAATACTCTTACATGTAGACTTTTATAGCATTGGTAAGTAGATTTAGTTTCATGCTTAGCAATTGCACAATAGGATTGCGTTTTGTTATGAAAGCAAGGGAGAAAAACAATCGCATAACGTTCGAAGCGTAGTTTTGAAATCCTGGCAACACTCATTCATTGTAAAGAGTGTCTTCTTCTGTGCGAGAGCATAACCCGTTTTTTAAATTATAATTGAAAAAAATAAGAATACTCCTAGATGCAACACACGAAATAGCAAGTGTAGCAGTAGTAAGTATTGTGGTAGGGCCACGCAACAGTCTTCGCCGTTGCACGAAAAGGTGCCAACGCATCTGCAACTCTACGGTTGTTGCATATGTCCATTGGCGGCGGTTATCACTTAACATCAGGTGGATTTACAGTTCGTTTGCCATCTTCTTACATAAAAAAAATCCCTTTTAACGAACTTATTAAACAGTGGCTGTTTAAATACGCAAGAACCCGAAACACGGAAGCTAGCACTGTGAATCGCCATTTGCATATCATTAAAAACAAGTATTTTAAAAAGTTTAACTAAAAATGTTTTCCGAGCAGTCTGGAATTTTCCATTTCCACGGCGTAACGGGACCCTGTCTGCGATAAATTTCTAATGTAGGGTACACCGTATCGATTGCATAGGCGTTGGGGGTTGCCCTTTATTGCTGAGCTGGTATGACATCAGCAAAAACAAACGCGACTGATGACACCATTACAATGTTGCCAGTGCATTACGCTTTTGTGTAAAGTTTTTTATTATCAAGCGGTACGACTACTGGTTCTTTGAAATTATAGTGTTAATCTTCCTGTTTCACATTACAAATGTTGTCGTATTTTATCGGTGTCACTTATTTATACTGACAGTCTGTGAATATATTCTTTATTTATAATTTTTTTAATTTAATCAAAGGGCTTTGTCGCTATGTGACCACATCGCCCTGTATAAACTACAATACAAGCATTCCCCAAGTCTGAATATTCTTTATTCAAACTACTTCTACACTCTTGTCGAACACAGCGTATTTTGATCGAAATGGATCTTCTATTTATCTCCATCTCTACCGCAATAGTTTGCTTGTAGAACGGAATGCTTGTTGAATCAGCTTAGCAATTGAACTAATTACGCCCTCAGCCGAGATAATATTTTTAGAAGCATGTTGAAATTGGTACGAAGCAGAGCAACGGACAATGACACTTTATATGGCCATTTCCTACTGTTGCATAAAATTGCAAATGAAATAAATATGTGTATATTTCTTACGTGATTTGTGTTAGCCTAGGAAGTGTGTACTTTCTAGCCTTACACAACTCCCGTAAGAATTCAAATTAATACTAATTTTTAATCATAAAGATAATATCGAGAGATAATTTGCACATACAGCTAGAGTGAGCAGTAAATGTGCACGATGACTTAATTCGATGATTAAATTTCGACGGTAGTACCGCGCGAACTAATGAGCACCCGGGGCCGACCTCCCCTTGGGCGAGTTACGAACGCACGAGAGTAGTGCCATAGTGCTGAATAAATAAAATGCAATTAGAAATAGGGAGCGGCCGCACAATCGCACCCTTGCGACGGGCTTCCACGAATTGGCGACGAAATCTTCCCGAAGCCATAAAAATCCCTATGCGATATCCTATATGCGATTATCAATTTCGACATTTAAAATAAAAGCACGATATAATAGGGTTTTTAGCGTGAACCGTATCGATAGAATAACTTTTATTAGTTATATTCCAAGCGAACCTTAACACGCAAGACAACATTCGTGAAGCTAATCAGATTTCGTCGGGGTATGGACGCACAAAGAATTGGCATAGGCCTACTAATGTGAAAGCAGACTGTGCGGAAACCCGACGGTCCACGTGCGGGGCGTAACCATGGCAACCGAGGAAACTACGTCGTTTACGTTCCCCCTGCTCTCGTTCCTAAATTTATACAGGCGTATACACTTTCGAGATACAGAGAGTGGATTTGAAACATTTCATAAGTTACACGAATATAAGCTATGTGCACTGAACTTTTAAAATTCAATGCATCACAGAGATAAATCGATTAAGCGAGCAATGTGCCATTGATTTGCATGTCTAATCGCTGTCCTAATGGAATTAACGACCCATAATAATAGCCGAATCGGACAAAAGACCCTGCGAGATTTAGCCGGACGATTTAGGATATAAAGTGTGAGGGCGTCCAAATCGTGTTATTATCTCACAACAAACGTTGGGTGGACTGGTGTGTGCAGTAAAAATAAAACTGCACTAAATCGTCCTCATCCGCCGTGATTCTGAAAATTATTTGGTTTCATCTCTATAAAGGACATAATTCGCTGAATAAAACAATTAAGAATTTTTATTTACAATAATGTATTCTTTTAGGCAGATATTTAGTCGAGAAACAATATATATATAGCAGAAAATTACAAGTTGTAAAATAGCAAAAGGTTTTGTGAATAAATATATATGTAATAGTATATAGTACTAGATATAATTGACGCCTAGAAAAAAGCCTATGATTTTTAATATTTTTGGGATAAATCAAGGTACCTAACATAAATCAACGTAATCAGCTCTAGCTGATTACGTTTCACGGAGACCAAAAATGAATCATTTCGCTATAGAACGAGCCTCATATAAGATATATAAATAAATACTAAATCATAACGAAAAACACAAATGCCGCGAGTGCAAGTTATTAGGTATCGGCGACCTCGGATATCTAGCGGGAGGTGCCACTGTGCCGCCACAACCGTTCATGTATGGATACATATAATGTATGCCGAAATTTGGCTGGACAGATTCACCCCGCACGAGGCTCCCTCAATTCTAGCCATTTGATCCCCGTCAATACGCGATTGTGTTTACCCATCAGATTCCCCCATTGTTATTGGAAATCCCGCTCGATGCCCGCTTTTGTGGTTTACTGAACAATTCTGGTAGGCGACTGTGCCACCGCAAATCGGGTTTAATAATACGATTTGTACCAAAGATTTATTTTAAATCGATCTAACGAATTAAACATTTCGTTTGAACATGCCGTTTTAACACACGTCATCGATAATTATGTCAAACCTTCATATGTTGCTCGTGACTACGCTAAGAGGTACGATTATGTATGCCCATGCTAAAAAGTATATGATTATCAATATAAAGGAAATGTAAGAAATCATTACAATGAAACATGTAATTTAACATTAATTATCTCCGATTTGGTTAATGAAACTTAGTTTATTTTTCGTTTTCGATATTGGGTATACGAGGAAAGTTGTATTATGAAAGACGCGAGATACAAGGCTTGGCCGGAGTTAGAACAGTGCAAGTTAATATTCAATTGAGTAATGAGCCGCTGATTGCCAATGATCGCCACATCCGGCTGTCGGCGAATCTAATAGTAAAAGTAATTGGTGAATCGATCAAGCAAGATATGCCGATTCGATACTGTAACACGTTTAATTAAACACATAACGAATTACTACATCTTCGGGCTCGACAATAAATGTTTATGCCTGGGTATTATCAAATATTAAATTTAGCTCCAACATAAAAGCTTGTTCGTTCATTGGTTTTTCTTGTAAAATATTGCAGATAGTGTGATTCTTAATTATAAATATGTGATATAAATAACGAAAATGTCTTAAGACATTCAAGCAAACCGAATATCCCCTGATATTTGAAAGTCGACGGCTTAAAGCCCAATTTTGCTAATTTATAAAGGGCCATCTTGCATAACTGGGTCGTAAGCGCACAGCGAAGTAATTATTTGAGTCGCAACGACAAAGACTGCGATATCCAATTTCTAGGCGTTCATTGTAAGAGGCCCCGACAATGGGCCTGGTGCCGTGGCGAAGGCCGACCCATCGCTGCATAACCCACATACATCACACTTATACATCACAGTTGTAATTACGTAGTTTTATTATTTATAAAACTATAGGGTTATGTCTAGTCTGGAATGACCAAAATGTCTTAAGTTATGCCAAAAGAAAATATAACCAACCCTGAAATGCGTAAGTCCATTTGACAAAGTATAGAAACACTTGTTCATATGTTCAGTAAAAATGAAACATACCAATTGCATGAAATATATGTATCATTTCAGAACTAAGCAGAAGTTTAACTTGATTAATGTATTGTATTAAAAGTGGATCTAATGATCCAATTTTATGTACTGGATACAGCATTCTATTTGATCATAGATATAATATAGCAGTAATTAATACGATTATAATTAAGCAGACAAGCAACAAACTGTCACAAATATACTAAAATTTGCGGCGCCTCTCATTAACTTTACAAATTGCTATATTAGTTTCGGTTAGCCACAATACAACCGCGAATTCCTCGACATGCCTGTGGTAACAAAAAAACAACAGCGAGAACGCTTTTTGCAAGAGCGGAAAACACAAATAGAACTACGGGTGATATAAAAGAGCACTTGCGTGATTAAAGTTGGTAAATCAAGCGAAACACAATGCTAAGTTAGACAGCTGCAACGTCACTTAACCAGCCACATTGTCTCACTGCAACCAGTTAATTCGTTGATTAGGCTACTTAATAGGGTAACCGTTTATAGCCTTACGTTACTTTAATCTCTTCAGTTGTAAACGTAATGCAATTTGATACGGAGACATACGAAGAAAGACGTCTGATGCAGCAAGATATTATATTTTAATGCTATTTTTCGGTACATTGAATTATCTTCTATGTACAGTTTTGTTTCGCACGTTTTCGATAAAACTACAAACGGGTATCGTACGAAAGTAATTAAGGTCACGGTTCCATGAAAGGAAGCAAACATAAATTAAGCAACAAGTTGTTTCTATTACTAGTAATGATGAATTGGCGGAAATAATTATAAAATGAAAATAATCAACATCGCCGCGCCTTATACGTTATGTTTAATCTAAGGCCTTGGGGAAAACTAAGAATTTATTATAGTTAGCAGTAAGTATGTTATAAGTTAAATTACTTATACCATTTACACAACTAATCACGACTTTTTTGTTTCAGATTTCTAAGCGACGTTTTAATAAAACAGGAATAATTACCAGGGCACATATTATAAACAGGTTAGTGAATGATGCTAAGCTTAATATTTACCTGATAAAAAAAGTAGTAAAGAGTACGATGTCGAATCAAACAGGAAATTAGAGATATCGAAGCGAGACTCGGGCAAAAAGCGACAATGTTGTCAATTCAATGGGATTCTCCGTTGGTGTCGTCAGTGGTCTAAAATTAGTAACGTTTTGCAACCGGCTCCAAAGAGTGAGCCCACTATCATCCTGTTAAGGAGACGGGACGAACTGTCGTGAATTGCGGAAGAAAACTACTAAGGAAAATACAGAGCTATGCGCAGTAGGTGCATCCTTTAGCTGCATATAACATGTTATATTTTTCTTAGTTGTTTTTAATATTTTCCAGATGCACTGTCTGCTATCTAAATTAGATTTCAATATATCAGACAGCAAAACCTAGTTTCAATTTACCATCGAGACAGTTCGTAATGTAGTTCCTTTAAGATGCGAGTACATATGTACCTATATATCAACCATTGCCAGTATACTCGTAGTTAGTGAAGCTGATGAGTGCCTATGCTTAAAAAGTTAAAGTAATTAAACTGCTGCATAGTTAATGTGCTCAAGAAACAATAAGATTGTATCGGATTATTCATTTTCGACTAAGACATCATATTGTGTATGAAATATAAACTTGATATATTTGGACACAAACCGGAGCACGACCGAATGAGGAAAATAAAATAGAATAGATGTGCCATTTATGGTAAAAAAAAAAAAAGCTAAAACTGGTCAAGTGCGAGTCGGACTCACGCACGAAGGGGTTCTATACCATTATCTATAAACCATGCACCAAAAAGGTTGCCAATCAGCGTTAGATTCAGGAAGTTTAAAAAAACTTCAAGAATGCTTTATGAAGCTGATTTACAGTGGAACCGTTGTATGTGGTTTTGTATTTGTTGTTATAGCGGCAACAGAAATACATCATCGGTGAAAATTTCAACTGTTTTTCTATCACGGTGTATGAGATACAGGCTGGTGACAGACGCATAGGGTAGGGAACCCTAAAAAAAGCTTTGTGATAAAAAATGGGAAAGAGTGTGACGAATCGCCCTACTAAACTGGGCTAGTGTGCCGGTGTATCATAACTGGCGTTATTATCGGCAATCAGACGGCGACCTTGCGGCTCGTTGCGGCGCAAATCGCGGGGAGCTGATTGCCATCCTCCATTCCGGCATCCGCCTTACGTGCACTTCCATTATGTAACGCCTTGTGTGTCACAGAGATAATCCCCGAAGCGTACGGTGCTTAGGTACGGAATGCTGCAGGGCGCGATTTCATGAATGGATTATTTATTCAACGCGCCCCAATGCTAATTGCGATCGCAAGATCTGAAGTCCAGATAGCGACAACCGCTTGAAGTACGTTGCACGCACACTAATGCCTCTGATAGGATTTATAATCTGGAAATGTCGAGTAATTTTGACGAGGAATAGGCATTTGCATCCGTAAGATTTTCTGAGTTTTGATCATGGAATACGTTTAAGAGAAATGTCTTGAAGGCATTGTGGCATTATGTAGGTGGTGTTCTAAAATAATATAATAGAATCAAGATGAACAAGACATTCTGATACTGGCGTTTTCTCAGCCTTGATAATAATCATTATTAGGCATTTTTGCAAACATTTGCGCCGCATATCTGACTACTGCGTCGCGCACCTTATTGGGTGTTCAATTGAATACAATTGACGAAGAGTTCGCCGTTGTCTTCGCCTTATTGAATTATCAAGACAACTTCCTACGAAAGCCGTACATTATTATATGCGATATCGTCCTCAAATAGCGGTACACAAGAAAGTGCGTTCCTTCTCAATATCTTAACATTGCGAAGTTTACATAAACGGAAAACGATTACATGCAAAAAACACAAAGGAGAAGAGTAGACAGCTTCTGAGTTTCGACGCAACTGTAAAATTTGTTTAATATTAATTACAGAGCGGAAAAAGTGCTGGCAGCACTTCTCGCGATTGCTCAACAAGAGCCTGTTCCGTGCAGTTTTTACAGAAGCAAATTATACGAACAATGCAAGATGCCTTTAAGCAGCTTCCCAAAAAAAAATCTCTGACCTTTCGACACAGGATACGTGCCAATGTTTAAAAGACCATGCTTACTTTCTTAAACAGGTACTTGCTATCTGTCGAATTTGACCTATTCCATTTTTATACATATTTAATTATGTATCATTATCATAATTTCAGCCAATTTTAGTCCACTGATGAACATACACAGACTGCCACGAAGCACGATCCTGACCAACCTGCATTCATCGATTCCGTGTATTGTACATTTGCACAGGTCGTCACTCCAAGTCACTAATTGTGTATATTAATTGGCAAAACAAAGAATTTACCTTAATATAGTATAATTATTAATAAATATAAATTATTGACCTTTCGCGAGGCTAGCTTAGCTTCGCGTGGACCGCGGACAGTTTAATGGCGTACCTTATCAGCAAACGGTTAATTTATTGCTTCCACAAATAAGCGCGTATAATAGGAGAGTGATAATTATAAATACTATTCAGATAAATCAGTGAATGTGTTATTAAGCCGAGTGCAAATTAAGGCCTTTACGAGCGGATCCGAGGAGAGTGGTCATTAAGGCAGGTGCGTTGCTGTTGGCACTGTTGGAGCGGTTAAATAGTCCCCGCGTCGATTTATCTCGACACTTTGTCTTCGGACAACGGCGCCGATTCATCTCTATCAAATTGCGGTTGGCGTACAACGGCGGTTCGGAAGCGCAATACGACACGTACAATGCAGCGGACGAACATGCTGGATTTTTAGTCATTAAATCGCGGAAGCGGCGGGATTTTATCCCGCAAATCAAAAATGCGTCACGCTTCGCGACGCTGGTGATTGCCGCTCCGTTGCAATTGCATGTAATTAGTGCATGTTGAAAAGCCCGAAAACTAACGTTTCGTGGCTCCTGGGTTCGATGACACTTGAACTCGACGAGACTAAACTTTGCTAAATACGTTTTATTTTTCCCTGATATATCTATGTACGACCTTCATCATTTTTATAATACTCAATAGGTATCCAAATGCTCAACCCCAACACTTATACGAAACGTATTGTATCATCTGAATATTCGTTCAACAATAGGACATAAAATCTTTGTACCGAAAAAACCGACATAAAAAGTTGTACTGACTTATTGAAACGGTGTCGTTCGTATCAAATAAGTGTACAATATGTACTGTTAATAGAACATTATGTACATTGCATTTAATCTATGATTCTATGAACATGGTTAGCGCGGTCGCAAAAAATGTAAAATTTCCATAGTTCAAATACTTTAACGGATTAACATTCTAACAATATGTATGTGGGGCACGGGCATGCGTACCTACTTATTGCGTGATGTCTGCAGGCGGCGCGGCCTGTTCTCATCACTCGGTCTATCCATTATTGTAATATCCTCGGACCAAGCGTTTAGTTACGTTTTCAAAGCCCGCTCATATTATGTATTAATGGGTTTATAATTCACGCGATGACCCAGGTCACGGTTGAAAAGGGAAGGACGTAATAGGCACGCTTTTCGCGTAAGTAATTACACTCCATTGTGACACTTATTCGTTAGCGCTAAAGCTAAGCACACGACTGCTGACAGCTGACTTTATCAGTCTATTACCTTTTATTTTAGCGAAAGCTTACTTTGATGGTGTTATCACTGTTATTATATATAAAACTGTTTTGGTTTAACAGCTTTTAATAATAGGAACTTTAATCTAACTTTTCGTTGTTTAAAACTGAAAGTTAGGAATGTACAGTGTCTAACAGTATTCATTCCATTCTTTCAATTGTCAAGTGTTCATTTTATGAGAGAATTTTCATACTATAGTTTTATTCATTATTTTATTTTCCTTTCATCCAAGTATTATAGTTTTTATCTTACATTTGACCACCAATAATCAAAATAACCGTATAAAGTCGCCATCAGTAGCAATTTCTTGTTTTAGAAAATAATTTATTCGTAGCTTGAAGCCTGCCCGCATCCTATTGTCTTATGGATATTATTGTAATAAACATTGTGTAATCATGTATGACCATGTTTTTTTTTTCTTTTATTCTTGATAAAAGAAAAAAACCCATGCGAAGAATATACCTATGTATAGTTTATGCAAATTTTATATTCAATCATTTGTATTGTTTTGTATTTGTATTTACAGTTGTCTTAATCGAGAAAATTGGTAATAATTTATTTTTAAAATCGTCATTAATGCAAAAATAGAAACATTAATTTTGTATGATAACTTGATTTGTTGCTACCTACTGATTACTATCCCTATAAGGAAATCAATTATAGTTTGAGTATTAATTAAGCATTAATACCATGCCTGATGGAATTTTACTTTCCGCTACGGACAAATTAGGCGCCGAGCAGACCGTAACTGAACCTCGCTTTGCCCCACTCTGAATAAATTTAACCAATATGAAACTGTATTTTTTGTACGTTCAACGAACAAGAATTATAACTCCAAATTTATAACATCCATTCGAACACACATTAAATAGTATGTTAGTACCTGAATACCTTTTGAACGTAAAATCTATGCTCAAATTTCATGGCACTCAACTTATCTCTGTACCTGTTCTATTTAATACCAGTGTTTAATGCGCTATTCGCTACACGGCTGTCATAATTTACCCATTAACTTCATTAATCCATGATTGCAGTTTAATGTCTTGAACATCGTCTATGTAGCTCTTAGAGGTGTGTCATTATCAAGCATAATTTCCTGTAGAAGTAATTTTATAATTTAATAATATCACCTCATACACACATTTGACGCACGCATTAATGCCGCGTACTGAAGCCATTATTAGACATCGTGAGTAAATCCCCGCATTGGATTCGTTTTAATAAAGCACAAGATTTCGCAACGGTCTAATGAAACGATTGAAAACGAGGCACATGCTATTCCCACGACATCAGCTGGTTTATGCGTCAGTGCGTGCTCAACCGCCCGTGACGTCACCGCCGACCAC